CCCCCCCCGCGGTCCATCCATCTTTCCTCCACCCTTGCGGGGTTTCTGCACGAGGCATGTGTGATGGCGGGAGAGCCGGGCGCAGTAGGTGCGTGTGTCCCATGATATTCGAGCGCAATCCTGAGCCCAGCCCAGCCCAGCCCAGCCCAGCGGAGTGTGGGGTGCGCTATTGTGAGAATGTGATGCTTGCTTGGGCTTGTGACGGAGCATGAACGAGTGAATCGTGTAATATGGATTGTGAATGTAAAAGGGGGGCCCTCACTCGCGGACCTGCTCAACTCGCGCCGGCGATACATTCAGGATTGACATGTATGTACACTCACACTTGCCTCTGAAATGTGTGCCTCGATGCTGGGCGTCGCGGTCGTGAGTCATGAGTCACGAGTGGGAGTGGTGCGCGGATCGCAAGGCGCAATTAAAGGAGGCGAGCAAGCGATGGCAAGCTAAGCCACACACACGGGAGGAATGCGCGCGCGGGAGAGGGATGCGTGCGTGCGTGCGTGCGTGCGTGCGTGCGTGCGTACCGTATGTAGGGTTAGCAATCGTGGCTGTCACAATCTTGATGAATACCGGTATGTGGCTGATGTCAAGATCCAATCGGTCATGGTCATCCCGGCTCGGCTTCGGCCAGACGCACGCGCGTATAGCGAACGGGCTGCAGCAATCACTTGAATCGTGAATCGTGAATCGCGCTTTGAGTGACAACAGTCACGAGCGACGAGTCCGAGTCCGAGTCGTGAGTATATGTCGCCCATCACAGTCGTTAAGTCGTTGGTGGTTTTCGTATCTTGAGCAACTCAGTCCGCTGGCTCCCCCCACCCACCCCCCGTGTCAGGTGCCCTCGATTCATCCATCATCCCACGTCCAAGCCGTCTGGCAAATCTCGACGTTCTGAAGCACGCTTCTTGCAAAAAAAAAGAAAGATATGTCGGAGTTTCAAAAGGGGGGGATAGTAAGAGCTGTCACGAGATGAAGGAGCGCCACGATGTAGCTCGACTGTGACTCACGCAATGCAGCGCGGGCATCCATCACGAGGCTCGGAGTTTGGAATCTTGGCAGAAATTGGGCCCAGGAATCTGGGCAAACAACTCACTGGGAAGCGGGTGGGGATCGGCTGTCCAACGAGCGTTAGCCAAAAAGGCAGAAGATTTCCCTTTTCGCAGCATCGATGGCGATGAGATTCATCCTACCGGCATCTTTTGGCCTCGCCCGCACGTGACCCGGCGTGTATACGATCAATGCGCGGCGCTGATGAGGTCGCGCAATGTGCATGCAGCAACGGCAACGCCGTGGCGCGGGCCGCCTCGTCGCTCACACGTGCGTGTGCGACCCCGCCGCGGGCAGCCTTGGGGGATTGTCTCTCCATCGACACTCACGACTTTCCTCCATCACGAATCGCGAGTCTGAAAGAATCTTCGGGGGCCGGGGGGGGGAAAAAATTTTTGTAGCAGAATTTTTCCTCGCCCGCGCGCATTTCTACGAGTGCGTAATTGTGACGATCGTCCTTATCGACGGATTCAAAGTGACGGTGGCCCCGTTACGTTGGTCACGCGTGAGCATGCTCGGGCAAGCTGGGGAGCCATGTATGGGGGGGGGGGGGGGGAAAGTCCGAGTGTACTGCTCTCTGTCCGCATCACACAAATAACAAAAAGAACAGAGCACCCATCTCGAGGTGCTCCTTGTGCATTTTGACAACGATGCCCACTCTTGAAGGATGGGTCGCAGATGTGATCGTGCCCCAAGGGTGTGCTTGACACTTGTTAAAGTGGATCTGCAAGCATGCTCGACGGGCGATACGCAACGACAACGAGCCTTTTCAGCGTTGGCGTCGACGGTGCACCCGCGCTGTCCCAATCGTGACATATCTCCGCAACTGCTCCAGCCTTTCCTTTCCTACACTGCCCTCCCCCCCCCCTCCTCGATTACATTTCCAACATAGCACTGACCATCTCGATGCGAAATAGTTGGCATTGGTGACACGAGCCGAAGAGATGTGCATGAGATGACAAGTGCAAAGCATAGAGGAGAAATCCGACAATGCGTCCCTCTGTTTGCCAGTTACGGTGCGAACGCCGCTGGCCAAGAGTGCGTGGGGAAAAATCCAAGTCGTTCGCGCGACATTTTTACGGTGGGCATGCAAAGCCGATCGAGAGCATCAAGTGGGAGGAGCGATGACGAATTTTTCGAGCAATTTTTGTCGCTTGGGCGTATCGGCGAACAAAGCTCTGACGAGCTTGGCGAGTTCGCGAGGCGAATAATCCACCAGAGCTGCCGCTTCGCTGTACAAGAAATCAATGTCTGCCAAGGAACCCGTGAGGATCTCGCAGAGGTAGGAGCACTTGAACCAGCTGGGCACAAAGAGCGCTACCGCTGTTTGCTCGGTCTGTGGACACGGCGGGCACAGGACAGGAATGGGCGCAAGTAACGTCAGCATGAGTGGCCAAAAAAAAAAAAAAAAAAAATAGGGCAAGAGATAGATGTGCGCACAGCGTGCGGCCTTGAGAGACTCACCCCGCTCCTCGGATCGACGAAAAGGTCTTCGAGCGGTGCGAGCAGCTTGACAGCCTCTGCGATCCTTTCGCTTTCCTTTTCCGAAATGTCTTCCAGATCTTCCACCTCGCTGAGCACTCTGGAAAGGACATGTTCCACCAGCGCACCAAGTGCCGACATTCGGTTGGGAGCCAGCAACACGTCTTTCCAAGCAGCATTCAAATTCTGCAGCTCCGTCACGCAAGCTCTGATGGATCTCTCAACAGCACCGCAACGTCCTGCATCGCTCGTGCCCACAAAGCTATCCGCCCCATCCAAGAGAGCGTCCAAAGAGGAGATTTGCATCGCAACGTGCGCAGCAAAGGTGTGCTGACCCAACATCGCCGTAGCTTTGGCAGTCGATGCCAGCTCCAACTTGGTCTCGGCGAATGCAGACTCTGATGATGCAGCTGCGATGCTCGACCACTCTTCTTGCAAGCGCAGAGCTGCGCGAGATAGGTAGGAGCAGTCGTTCAAAAACTGAGCAGCCAGCGCAGAGATCTGCAGAGCCGCTTCGTGCGCCGACGGTACGACGGCTCGGTACAGATCAAACACGTCGCGTATGCTGTCGAGCAAGACTTGAGGGTCGGGCGAAGCATCGTCTGCCTGCTTGGCGTCTGATCCGTTTGCAGCCCCTTCACCTTGCGTCGCTGCATGATTCAACAGCTCCTTTGCATCGGCCAAGATGTTTTCAGCGAGCGTAATCAGCAGCCGAGTGCGTTGAGAGATGAGCATCTTTGGACGTGCGATGGGAGGCCGCGTCGACTGCTGCGCCAGCTCACCCGCACCAGGTCTGCTGGTCGCGGGCGAAGCGCTGCGGTTCGAAGAGCGCGAGTCGGGTCTAGCACGCGCAGACCCAGAAGGTGTGACACTGCGCGAAGCACCAGCATTGCTGGCATTCCTCAACGTCGCCTGTCTCAGCTGCGGGGAGGGCGCTGCGCCCGTCAAAGGCACAGGCGAGGCAGATCGTCCACCCGGCGTTGAAGCAGCGGCAGAAGATCGAAGCGCCGTCCTTGAAGGACCGCGAGAGGCAGACGCGGATTTGGGGGCATGCGGAACAGCAATCTTCTCGGCTGGTGCTCGGTGTGAAGTCAGGTCTGGATCGGGCGCCGATGGATCCTCCTCATTCCATTCCCAGGCTTTGATCTCTTCCTTGCCCTTGCTGGACGAAAGTGCTTGCGAGTGCAGCTTGCTTTCCTGCTCTTGCACGTCAGTCGATTCGTCGACTCCCAATGACTCTTCCCACGCATCAAAGCCATCATCTTCCTTGTCCTCGAGGCGAGCGCTTGGCGTCGATAGCGCCGGGGCAGGAGGCACGATGGGCGTCGACACGCGACTAGGCCTGTCGTCGAGCAGAGGTTCGTCCCTCATCCGCGTCGGGGTGGAGGGTGGCAACGCAGCGTCCGAGCTGACCGAGCCGATCGTCGAAGTCCTCGAGAGCGATAGGTCAGCCTCGATGTCAGCCGGCGAGCTCATCGATGGTAGGGCGCGCGAGTTCGTGAGAGGCTGCGCAGAGCCTCCGACGGCCGGAGCTTCGGCTTGTACAGGTATTGCTGGAGGTGCAGAATACGTCGCCTGTGCATGCTCGTCCAAACGAGGCGTGGTCGGCGCATGCAGCTTGGGTGTGCCTGGCAGTGCCTCTTCCGACGCCGCTGACACAGAAGGAGCGGGCGCGGGCGCGGGCGCGAACGCGAGCGAGGGCGCGGCGGCAGGCTGCGTAGCCCGACTCATCGACTCGGAGCTCAGCGCATCGTTAGCTTGCGCTGGAATTCCGGATCCAAAGGAAAGCATGCTAGCGCGCTTAGCAGCTCTGATCGCTTGTTCCTCCGTCGAAAGGCCCCACGCGTCTTCCTCATCCTCTTCATTTTCATCGACACCTGTGAGCCCCGCATTCGCATCTTTGCTGCTCTCGTCTGCAGGCTGCGAGACCTTCGCATCCGCCGGCTCCGTGCCGACCTGCACGAGTCGAGCTGCTGGTGCTTGCGTTGGTGCCTGGACGAAGAGCGCACTGGCCCTCTTGGCTGCCCGAACAGCTTGCTCTTCAGATGATAGTCCCCATGCGTCTTCGTACTCATCCTCCGGTGCATCATTGTCGGTAGGCGACGCAGTGCTCTGAGGAGGAGCAGCAGCCGTGAAAGACTCAGACGCGCGAGGCCGGGGGGAAAGACGTGGTGCACTGGGCGCCTCCAGATCTCCCCAGGCGTGCTCCTCATCCGCATGCTCATCAGATTTTTGTGTCATGCCTTGCCGGAACGGTGATGGGACCTCTGCTTGCTCCCTCGCACGCTCGACGGGCGGCAAGATCAAGCTAGCCCTTTTCCTCGCCGCAACCTGTTCCTTTTCCTGATCCGTGAGACCCCAAGCGTCCTCGTCTATCTCCTCATCCAGATCCATGCCCGGCATCGCCGAAGGCTCCGAGTGCGCAGAAGCGAGCGCATTGTCAGCGTCTTGCGCAGGTCGAGATGATGATGGTCCTGGGGCCTCGTCGGCGAACCAGGCATCGTCCGAATCTTCAAGAGGCTGGAAAGACGTAGAGGACACGGCGTGTGCATTCTCAGCCTGTCCACTTGCTCCATTCTCATCCACGTCCTCATCGAATCCCCACGCATCCTGATCCTGCGCGACATTCAGAGGTGCTTGCGAATCTTGAGGAAGAGGTCCAGAGCCGAGCTGATCCGAAGGTCTGACGACTCGCACACCTCCCAGCGTCTTCTTTTTCGTCGTGCTAGTGCTGATGCTCGTGCCCACGTCTCGAGCTCGTGGCGTGGCTTTGGCGCGTTGTGCTACTCCTTTCGTTTCGTGCGCACGTCTCTCCTCCTCCGCATCGCCATCCCAGCCCCACGCATCTTCATCCACTTGTTCCTCGCCCACATTGCGCTCAGACTCGCTCTTTTCCCATTCCAGACCCACAGCGGCCTCCACTTCCCCCTCTTCGCTCTTCGTGTGACCCGTGGCCGTCAGATCCTGCAGGTGCGCCTCGACAGGCACACCTTCCCAACCCTCCTTGTCCATCAACGCCGCGCTCCTAGCCCTCTGCAAGTTACGTTCGACCAATCTACGCGCCCATTGTTGCGACACATCTCTTTCGAACTGCAAAAGAGGCTGCATCTCTTCCGCCAGCGATTTGCTTCGCTCTTGCGTATCAGACTTGTCGGACAAGAGGTCGAGAAGCGCGCGATGTAGTTCGAGAGACGTTCGAGCCACGTCTCGAGCTTGAGCGTACGTGTCTTTTCCCGACTCTGTGCGTAGCGAAGGCGGCAAAGAATGTCGAAGCGCACCGAGGAGGGATGAGATGTCGATCTGTCTTAGAAAGACTTGAGCGATAGGACCCACGACACGTTCGTCTGCCTGTCGTAGCCACACGAGGAACGAGACGATCGCTTGAGGAGCAGAAGAAGACGTCTCTGCTTCATGGCTGCGATGAGCGCTCCAAGAATCAGAGGTAGCGGATGCTTGCCAACACGACCGACCCCCGTCGCTCGATTCATCCAGGAGGGAGACGTGAAGCAGTCCCCGCAAGACGTCCAAAAGACGAGCAGCAAGACGTTCGAGAGTTTTGCCAGCTTGCTCGGCACTGATTGCCGCTTGAATCTCGAAAAGATTCGAGATTGGCGTTGGCTCGTTGGAAGTGGAATGTGCTGAGCGATGACATGAAAGGCTCGGTGATATCTGAGCTACGTCTGCAAGGTCCAAAGTCGGTGCACAGCTCTACAAGTCTGACTCACCGCGCGCACTTTTGGAGCAAAGGACGATCCAAGCGTCCTCTTCTCTCACGCTCAAGAATGCTTCACAAGCGCCTCTCAACTCCTGCGCGATTTCTCCCTCAAGCTCTGTCCAGTCTCTTGCGATGGCCCTAGCAGCCGTCGTCTTGCTCAACCATTCCTGCTCTCCATTCCCTATCGCGCTCACCTCTTCACTCGCTGACGTGTATGCATGCGCGAAGGCTTGAACGTTGAGAGGTCCTTGCGAGAGGAGCGATCGAAGCGACTCGATGGACTGACGTGCGCTGTGTAATGTCGAGAGGGCTGTGCGCAGTGCCCTGTTGCGCACCAGATCGCCTTTTGCTCGTTCGTAATTCCTCTGAATCGCACTTGGTGCTCCCTGAGCACGACGATGTGATCGAGCGGGTGAGTCAGGCACAAGCTTGAGCTGCGAGCCCACAAAAGCAATTGGGCACCCGCTCACCCGATCTTTCACTTCGCAAGCTCTTTGCACCCTCAATGTGAGCCCGTCGACTTTCTCGAGCACAGCTTGCAACCTATTCAAGTCCTTCTTCATGCTCTCTTCATTCTCCACCACACCCCGCGCCAAGTCGGACCTCAATCTCTGCACGTGAGATTCCAGCAGCGTTAGTTGTGCCGAGTAAGGCAGAGCGGTAGGACTTGTACCAGAGTTGGAGTTGGTGAAAGGTGGAACAAGAGACTGAAGAAAAGCTTCGAGCGAAGTGTTGTCGGAGGATGAGGGAGATGGTCTGGGATCGGTGCCCGTGCCCGTGCCCGTGCCCGTCGCTGTTCCTGCTCCAGCGCTCATTTGTGCTCTGGACTGCGTTCTATGGGCCGCCGTCCTTGCTTGCGCCATTCCATTCGAGCGGCAGCGCCCATTCGAAGGTGGGTGTGTTCGAGTAAGAGGTGATCTTGATCTCGAACGAGGGGAAGTGAGTGAGTGAGTGGAGATGGCGCACGAGTCGTCCGTCTAGCCAGTGTCTGAGTGGGCGAGGGATCGAGCGAGTGCACGGTGAGGGTGGGAAGAGCGATCGATGCGTTCATTGCACAGACAGTCAGAGTCTCCCATCATTCACGATTCACGACGGTGACTAGCGCCGCACCTAAAAGTCGCAGCGCAGCGCTGCCCTGGATCTCCAGCGACAGACAGCACGCACGCACGCAAGCACGCACGCACGGACATCCAATCGCGGTGAATCAACGCGCACAACTGTGACTTGACTCTCGACTCTCGACTCCCGCTCGACTCACGCACGCATACACACCCACCGCTCACCGCCTTCCTGCCGCACACCCCCAAGCGACGCAGCACAGAAACCGCCTCGACGACTCCAAAAGGCACTCGCTCGCACCAACTCTCGCACACATTCTGATTGCACTCACCGTGCCAATCGTCCTGAAGCTCATCTCTCCACTCCCTCGTCTCATTCCACACTCACACTTGCAATCAGATCAAAAGCCCGTGCCCTGGCACGCGCACCGAATCATCAGGCATTCAAAAGTCGATCTTCTCTGTGTGTAGTGATTCAGTACCTCTGATCATGATCGTTCAAGACAAGACGGGCGCGAAAGACGTGTGGTGGTGGTGGTGGTGGTGGTGAGGAGGAGCGGGGGCGGGAGCAAGCCGGATTGCCAAGTCGAGGGGATCGTATAGCCCAAAGTGTTGGGTGATGGGTTGGGGTGTGTAAGATACGATGCTTCGAGCAAGAAAATTTTCATAACATCAGTGGGCGATTCGGTGCGCTTGGTCGGGGTGGCGTGATGAGCAGCAGAATTGATGGGGGTGGGGGGGACAAGCGATGGGCAAGGATGAGGAAAAAAAAACTTCCGAACAAAAGAGGGCGCATTTTCCGTCGCCGGCCCCCTCTCTACTCGTTTCCAAATCCAAGACCCTCCTCCACCGCAAGGACCAATTTATCCTCGAGCTGCTTCTCGCTCTGATAAGGCGGCAAATCGATCCTGTTGAAGCACGTGTGGCTCTTGGGCAGCTGCGTAATCTCTCCGCTCTTTTCGATCGTGAAGCGTCGAGGCCCGTCGCTGCCTTGCAGGTCCTTGAATCCATTGACCGGAATCCTGCTCGTTCCCGTCGCGAATTGCAGCAACCTCGATTTGCGCTCTGCAGGCCAAGCCTTGACGCACTTCCAGAACCACTGCACCACCTCGTCTTGCTCCGTAAAGCCGCGGTAGTCGGTGTACCTCTTCCAGTCGTCAATGTCGATCTCGCTCATACCTCCGATCAGCAGTTCCAGCTCCCTCTCGTCGAACACGTTGATCAAATCTTGCGGAATCAGCTCCGTAAAGCCAGAGGAAAAGGCTTTGAACTGCTCCTCCACCCTCTTTTGAATACGCCACTCCGTCATCAGCTCGACGTACTCCGCCTTGTTCTCATCCGTCACATCGATCTCGCTGCCTCCAGGTTTCAGGTCCACCGTCACCATCTCTCCGAATTTGTCCTCCACCGCCGTGAAAGTCTCTTCCACCACATCCGCGATGGGATTGTTGAGCATCCACTGCAAGCTTCGGTGGTAGTCCGCATCCACGCTCTCTAGATCCGCCAGCGTAATCTTCTTGTTCAAGATCATCTTGTAGAAGCTGACGATAAAGTAGGCGTCCAAAAAGCGGCGGTGGAAGATGGCTAGACCGAGGACCCTTCCGATGAATTTGAAGTAGTTCAAGTGTTCCGGGTTGATGCCCGAATGAGGGTTGATCTGCAACGTGTAGTTGTCGTGCGCAGAGTACTCAAACAGGCAGTAGAACGGGTTGAACATCTCGTGACTGAGCAAGAAGAAGAACTCTCTAGAGAGACCACCATAATCCAGACCCTCTTCACCGTCAAACTTGATCATGAGGCGCTTCTTGAGATCATTGGGCTGCTGGCGCATAATCTCTGCGTAAGAGTCCTCAAAAATGTGCGTTCTGCGCACCTTGATGTGGCACTGACCCGGAATAGGTCGGAGGGCAGGTTGAGATCTGAAGTAGATGAGCTTGCGTCTAAAGTCGCGCTTGTACTGCGGCACGTTCTGATCCAAGCTGGAAGGCAAGCGCGGGTCGTCCCAGGTAGTCGTCTTGGTGTTGTGGTCCACAAAGTAGACTCTGGCAGTGGACGTCAGGCGCATCTCCCATCCAGAGGGTAGAGGTCCCAGCTGCGAGACGCTCTGAGGCTGAACCGTCAGGTTGTTGCCGTTGGGACCCATGATGCGAAGAATCTGCTGTCGACGCGGGTCGACCCAGGTCGTAGTGCGCGTGTTGTGATCCACAAAGTAAGGTCTTCCTTCGGGCGTGTGACGCTGCTCCCATCCAGCTGGCAGAGGTCCAGTGCCAGCCGTCGTGCTAGTGGTGCTAGCTGGCAGGTTGGTGTTTGCAGCGACGGTTCCAGCAGCTGGAGAAGCGGCAGCGGCCGCACCGGGTGAAGGCGGAGCGGCAGCTGCAGTCTGGAGCGCCGAACCAGGTCTGGCAGCGTTGACCGTGCTTCCATCCACACCCAGCATCTCGTCGGCGAGCGTGCGATTGGAGTGGCGCATGCGGTCACCGGCGGCATTGTTGGCAGCAGCGGCCTGATTGACGTTGCTGCTCATGCTGGGTCGAGTCCACGTCGTGGATCTGGTATTGTGATCAACGTAATAAGTCCTTCCGAGATGGTCGGTGCGACGTTCCCAGCCCTGTGGCAGAGCGCCTTGTTCATCGCTGCGAGCCTCGGGATTAGTGTTGCGTGGAGGAGCTGCGGACGGTGCAATCGCGCCGGATGGAGCTGTCGAGGTTCCGGTGGTGGAGCTGCGTCGAGACGATACGGCGCTGGTATCGGCGACCAAGGGGCGAGATCCAGACGACGATGCGCCAGCATCTCCGCCATTGGTGGGCGCATTGGCAGCGGTGCTACTGTTGTGAGGCTTGGGTGCACCATTAGCTCCCGTCTGACCCGAAGGCACCAGGGATGTAGAAGACGCATTGGCGTTGGTATCGGGAACCAAAAGGTTTGGAGCAGCGCCGGCATTGGAGTTGTTGACGATGGGAGTGGACACGTTGGTGTTCAGGTCGATGATGAGCTTTCCGTGCACGACGAGGTTGTCGTTGGATCTCTTGAGGTCGCGGGTGAGAAGCACCTTGCCTCCTAGTTCGAGGTCGAGCACCTGAGCCACGGGCACATTGATGACACCCAAGAAGCCCTGGTCGCGCTTCTTGAACTTCTTCTGATCGAAGATCTGAACAGCCAAGACGGAAGAGTCGTTGACGTTGACATCGAAGCTGTCGTTCCAGTAAGGGTTCAACGTCTTTTTGATGACGGAAGTCGTGTGCGTCTGTTCTCCATCCACCGTGACGATGGCGAACGGGTCGGGCAGACGAAAGACATCCCTTTTGGACAGACCATCAGCAGCCACCACTGTGATTCTGACCTTGCGAGTCAGCTGACCCGGGGCGCGGCTGTTGACCATTGTAGTGGGCGATGGAGCTGCTGTGGCAGGGACGGGAGTGTGGTCGCTCGAAGCAGACCTGGGTTGTGGGAAGGGTGGTGCGTGTGCGCCTGGAGCAGCAGCAGCAGAGTAGCTGGAACGGCCAGTGGCGGGATGTGCAGGAGGGGAAGGAGGATGGGGTGGCCGAGGCTGGACAGAGCCAGTCAGCGGATGAAAGAATGCGGCAGGGATGATGGGCGAGCAAGATCGAGTGAGGCCAGACGAGTTCGAGGTGCTGAGGCCAGGGATGAAGAACGCTTCAGCACGAATCCGAGGTCTGATTGGATGACTGACCGACCGACTGCGCGCGAGCGTAATGAGGGCGGGCGCAGCAGAATGTACTGTGCACTATAGCTGCTGCTGTGTGTGGTGCGGTGTGATGCGCGTTGTGCCGATGCAGAGATCACAATCTGTCGCAGGCGCTCAGAACAGATTGCTTACCGTTGGTCGGCAAATGTGATTTCGAATTTCGAATGAGATTTGTTGGCCCAAATGGAGGCGCTGAGAGGTGGTGTGAGCAGTGCGCAGGTTTGGCGCTCGCTGACTCGCTCGCTCGCTCGCTCTACACCAGATGGGTCAAGCAGAGGATGAGATGGAGTCGAGAGTAGGAGGAGATGGGATGAAGGATTGAGCGGAATCAAAAGACGACTGTGCCCATCGTGACAGTCACAAATGGATGGGGAGGGTGGTAGTCACAGTGATCAGGAGTCAGCCATGCGGCACCCATGCAACAGCAGGCTCAAGGGTCGAGGATGCAAGCTTGCACGCACGCGGGTGCGGCCATGCGCCAGTGTGAGTGACGAGTGACGTGACGAGTGACGAGTGACGAGTGACTCGCCCTTCACCTTATTGCGAAACTCTCGCGTCCGGCGCAGCACATCCATGCATCACGAATCACGCCGCGGCAAACTCGACCAGCGCTGCTGCTGCTGCTGCTGATGCTGCTTTATTGCTTGCATTGATGCATGGTCAATTGCGCGCTGAGCTCGGTCCGCGCCTCGCATCGCCCAGCTGAGCATGCGCCTATATACAAGGCAGCTAGGCACCTCGGCAGTTGTGGCGATCTGCGCTCCGGACCGTGAGTCGTGAGTCCTCCCATGCACCATGCACCATGCACCGCATGCATGCTCAAAATGCAACAACATGTGGTTGCGCGCGCCTGATTGACGTCTCGAGCAAGAGTTGACGGCTGCTGCTGACGGGGCGACGCACACCCGCAGCAGTCGCACAGCACCACATCTCGAGCTGTGTTCTATCGTCGCGCGAGTGCCATGCATGGGCGAATGAATGCATGCAGGCACCATTTTCGATTCAGATTTGACGCGAGGGCAAGGCGACGAGCGTGCGTGCGCTCGAAGTACGCGCGCGCGCGCGGCCTGGAGGTGGATTTTGATGGGAGCATATGGTACCTTTGCTGTGATCGTACGCGTGATGCAAACCTGCCGGGTTCTGCGAGGTGTACTGTAGCACCTATATTCCTCATGCATGAGTAGACACATGAGACGTGAGAGGCAACTCAAGCTATACATCAGGCGGAGGACCTGCGCGCGGCTATGTCTTATCCCCGGGCGAGGCTGTGCTCCGCCTCTCATGCACTCGTCGCGACTCGCGACTCGCAACTCACTTGCGAATCACGAATCACGAATGCTGGCCCAACTCTGTGCCACAGCAGCAAGCAGTCAACGACTCAGAGTCACGTGCTGTGACTCGACGTCTAACCGCCCAGACTCCTGAAAACTCAACACTCAACACTCAACACTGATGCGTGACCAATTTGTGAATCGCAAAACTCCAAGGCGACCGATCTGCATGAGGTTGCGCGCTTGCGTGCGCGCGCGCTCGCTGGTGCAATCGCGAGCGTGTGGATTGGAGTCCCTATATTCGGAACCAGGTGAAACTTTATTCGGATCGTACGGCCACCAGGGCCGTACCGCAGTCAAGGAACACGGCTGCTAGCGCCGTACCAAAGGGGTCAAAATTGATACAGCTCTGTGAGCTGTATAGCAGTGGAGCTGTGTACGGCTTGCATGGCCGTATCAATCTCAACCATACGGCTCCCAAAGCCGTACGCAGGCCAAGCTCTTGTTCTGTGTGCTGTGCGCTGTAATCGCCCTTTGCTTGCGGCGTGAGTTTGTAATCAGAGCATTTAAAAATTCAAATTAGACTTCCAACATTTTGTAACCAAATTGAGAGGTGCACTTGTAATGGCTCACGTGCATTTGTAATTGGGGCTTATGAAATGTATCTCCATTATAGGCATCCTTGCGCGCGTTGATTACAAAACCTTGCACGGCTTGCACAGCCGTATCGCTCAAAATCTAGTACGGTCATGAGAGCCGTATGATCCGAATAAAGTATGCGCGGGTTCCGAATATAGGGACTCTGTGGATTGTGTGCGCACTAATGCGCGACAAGACCTTTCGTACGAGAAATCGCGCCAGGTTCAAAAAGTTGGGGATTTCGAGATTTCAAGATTCACATCGGCGCGAGCGCGACCTTTGCAGCGAGGCGCTTCCTCTGACCTCGTTTCAGCCGAGCTTGCCTCCACCATCTCTCTCTCTCTCTCTCTCTCTCTCTCTCTCTCTCTCTCTCTCTCTCTCTCTCTCTCTCTGCACGCCTCCATAACAAGAGTCGAACAGCGAGCCTGTGCGCAGTCTCCCAAGGCAGCTAAGGCTAGGTGCTTGATTGACATCCCCAAGCAATACATCGTCCCCACTTCCCCACGGCAGATTTAGGCTCAGAGACGCAAGGTTGGCAATGCCCAACTTGAGCAGCATGGCCAAGGATTCGCGCTTCGACATCAGCGCGTGGGAGGGAGCAGCTGGATCTCCAAATACCGCCGCTGCAGCCCCAAAGAAGCGCAAGAGGAACATGTTGATTAGCGAAGCGCCATCGCCAGAGTCTTCATCACGAGCCATTGCAGCCTCACCACGCGCGGAAGAGGAGGAGGGGGATGATGATGATGATGATGATGATGATGGAGCGGATGCAGACTCGGCAGAAGAGCAGGAAGATGGTGTTCAAGAAGATCCGGTCATCTCCCGCACGGTCAAGCCTTTGACTCGGGCCGAGCTAGAGGCGTACGAGGCCAAAGAGAAGCGTAAAGGCTTGATCTACATCTCGCGCGTTCCTCGAGGCATGACACCGTCCAAAGTGCGTCACTTGCTCTCTCAATTCGGCGACGTTTCTCGCCTCTTTCTTCAAGATGGCAGTGCGGGTGCTCAAGCGAAGGGGTCAAATCAGGGGCCAAGGGACAAGAAGAAGAAGAAGAAACACGTGTCGGCCAACTACACGGAAGGATGGGTGGAATTCGAGGACAAGAGAGTGGCTAGGGGTACGGCGGAGTTGCTCAACGCTCAACCTATCGGCGTGGCGATGGGAAGCTGTTTTGGAGGAGGTGGAGGTGGCGCAAAAAAGGGCGGGTTGGGTCATAGCAAGCGAAGATGGAGAGACGAGGTTTGGACTATGCGCTACTTGCCCGGCTTCAAGTGGAACAGGTTGAGCGAACAGTTGGGTGAGTGTGTGTGTGTGTGTGTGCGCTGTCGAGGATCGGTGCGGTGCTCAAGAATCGACGCCATGGAATCGAATGCTACATGCGACTATGGTAGCCGTCCATCTACCCCTCCTGTACAATGCTTACGCTTTGCCTTTCCCCATCCACTCTCTCAGCAAACGAAAGAGCATCTCACAAATCTCGCTTGCAAGCTGAGCTTTCTCAATCCGCAACGGAGCAACGTGACTATCTCAAAAAGGTCGAGAGGGCTCGCGTGCAAAGGTCCAAATTGGAGCGGCTCGAAGCGCGTCGAGCTTCCGCCTCCGCCTCCGCCTCCGCCTCCGCCTCTGCAATCGAGTCCCTCACCGGCTCGGCCAAGGACCCCGACGCATCTGGCAGCAAGAAGCGAATGGAAAACGAGAGGATGCACACTTTTAGACAGCGCGGAGCTTTGAGTTCGGATGTGAGGGACAAGCAGGCAAAGATGGATCTGAATTCCGACTCGAAGAGGCTCATCAAGCGCACCAAACAGTCGTCCGTGCCCGACGACGCGCTCAATCGGGTGCTTGGTCAGATCTTCTGACGATGAATGCCAGCTGCTTTTTTTTGCCTTTGCAAATGTGCTCGCCTTCGTTGCACGGTGTGTCGTTCTTGATGAGTACGTGCAGTGTATCATGGCCCTAAACAACTGTGCATCTAGCCATGTCAAAGTGCACCCTATCGGCCAGCAGAATGGGGGACTTCTTCGAGGCTGAGGCTAGTCGAGACAGCCACATCACGCCGAGACCACATTGTTCTACACAGCATTGTCATTGCACGCTCAAACGCGCAGCGATGGCAGTGAGAACACGAAAGGGGGAGTCAGAGGGAAGCGCTGCTGCGGGCGCACGAGCCTCGAGCCTCGGAGAAGGGGGGACATGGTGGTGTAGGGTGCATGATGTGAAAGGTACAAGTATGGTGTGTAAGAGAGAAAAGACTAAGGGCGCCTGCCCGACGCTCGAGAATCCGATGCTCATCACAGACGATGCTTCGAAGCTCCATTAGCGCGTCCCATTCTCCCCTTTTCGATTTCGCCGCGATGCTAGTCCGCCTGGTACTAGCGTAGCGTCTTTCTACTATCGCGTTAGAGGCTGCTTTAAGAAGCGGGTGCACCGGCTCCACGACCAACGCCTCCGAAACGAGGTTGGTAGTCGCCGGGAGCGGCAGACTCCTTCTTGCGGTACTCGCGGTCTCCACCGTCGCGGTCGCCGCGAGGAGGACGGTAAGCGCCATCGCGGGCACCACCTGCACCTCCCAAGGGACGAGAGGGACGAGCAGGACGCTTGTGCGTTGCGGGAACAATCTCAGCTGGGAGATGAAGGTACTCGCGCAGGTACTCCAGACCCTGTCGAGCCGGGAAAATACCCAGATCCAGGTAAGCTATTCGCATCCGAGCCTCCGCTACGCTGCGACGTGGCAAGACGAGCAGACAATCCGCCAACTCACCTCGTTTGTCAGAGTGTAAAAGTACCATTGCCAGCTGAATTGAGTGTGGACGTAGCCTCGAGAAGTGAGGCTTTGGCAAGCCTTGATCACTTGGAGGTTGGGAACATCCTCGAGCTCCGGATGAGCAATCTCGAAGTTCTTGGGAGCTACAAGAACACCCTCCTTGAAGAGAGCAGAGTAGATGGCTCGGCGGTTCTCCTTGGGAATGATCACTAAGGGGAGGGGATGATATGCGCACATCGACAGCGTCAGTCTCGCCGCTACCCATTCGCGGGAGCATGCTGCTGCATCACGGCCTCTCCGAGGTTAACCTGCTCATCGCGGCGCTGCCCTGAACATTAGACTTGCGAACCTGCACGACATGCTCATAGCGCCCGCCACCTTCCTCCACCAATGTCTCGACCACCGTCTATCACCGAGCAGGTTGCAATTCTCAACCCTCCGCTGCGGTGCCACTTCTCATTGCCAAGCTCTTCGTCTTGCATTCCTCGCTCCTACTCACTCTTGAACGATGCTCGGGTTGAAGAGGGTCAGTTGATTGTTCAATTCGCGAGCGAATAGGAACTTTGTTCTTGATGGAAAGTGTTGGGGCCGGTGACGAGCGGATCCTGAGTCTGAGGTGGTTGGTGAAGAGGCAAATGTAGGTGAGATTCGTTCACGTCAAGGGCGAAGTACCTGGCGCGGTGGAGCGCGTGCATGCACGATCTTCGACACGCCACGTGGACGAGGGTTAGCGCGCGCGCGGCGCGCGCCCGCGCCGACATGAGGAGCGGATCGTCCGCACGCAGAAGCAGGCCGCAGCTTGAGACAGAGCTGCGCTGCGCTGATGCAACGTCCGAGGATCCATCTCGAATTTCGTGCAGCAGACGCGGCTTGGGGCAGAAAGTCGCAGTCGAGTCGACTTACTTGTGCTTGGATCAGAGGTGCGGCCTCGACTCACCCAGCATCGCAACGAATAGCGCTTTGTCCTCTACCACTACCCAACAGCATTCAACTCCTTCGTCAAGAATAGGACAAGATGGTCAACGTTCCCAAGACTCGTAGAACTTACTGCAAGGGTAAGCCTTGCAAGAAGCACACGTGAGTGTCGTTCAGGTAGCGTGAAGGGAGAGATTGGAAAGGGAAGGAGGAGAGCAGACAAGCAATGGGAGGGTAAAGGAAGGAAAGGGCACGAGGGAGCTTTGAGCAAGAGGCAGTCACGTTGAGCAAGTGAAGTGGCACAGGCGGATGGCTGAGATGAGGAGTGTCGAACAACGCTCGGGACCGAGCGCACGAGCAGCACGAGTTAGGACAAGGTGGCAAAGCAGGATGCTGATCAATTCCCGAACTTTGCTCCCTCTTGCTGCATCGTTCATTGCGACATTTCGATCGAGATAGCCCTCACAAGGTGACCCAGTACAAGACCGGAAAGGCGTCCTTGTACGCTCAGGGAAAGCGTCGTTACGATGCCAAGCAAAAGGGTTACGGTGGTCAGACCAAGCCCGTCTTCCACAAGAAGGCAAAGAGTGAGTAGCTTTGAGACCGGAACAGTGCGGCAGAGTTCATGGGAGACCGTCGCTGCAGCGCAATGGTAGCTGGTGTCGGGTGATGCGAGAGTCGCTAGACGGGCGTGGCGTAATAGGCGGGAACGAGGTCACAGCAACAGGCTCGAGATGGAGGCGAGGCATTTGGTCGACGCCCGGCGTTTAGCTTTTGGAGACAAACACATGCCGTTGCGCGTGTCCATCGGAAGTGAGAGGTGCTTGTTGCTCTGCGCATGAGCGAAAGTCCTACTCGAGCCGAAGGGATGGTCTATGCCCAGTTGCCTCGCGCCGCAGCTTGAGATGGAGCGCCAGCGCTAGCCGCTTGCAGTCGACGCGAGCAAACAATTCTTCTCAATGCGATCTGAGCGAGGCCATGAAAAGTTGACGGATTTGCGCCATTCTCCGACTCACAGCTACCAAGAAGGTCGTGCTGCGTCTCGAGTGCACCGCATGCAAGTACAGATCTCACGTCGCCTTGAAGCGTTGCAAGCAGTAAGTCACGCCTGCTCGCGTAGCGCTTCATGCTAGACATCCATGCCGACCCATTCTCCCCATTCATGCCTTGCTTCAGCTTCGAGCTCGGCGGAGAAAAGAAGTCGAAGAACGCTGCCATCTCCTTCTAAACGAGCGACTTGGGTCCCGCGGCCTTTGCGCCACACATCTCGCTTGGCTTGGCTCTTTCCTTGTTCGCTGTCCACCCGATCCAGACTTGCTCGTCACACTCCCGCCGATCAAGCTGGGCCGTGGTTCTTGTACCAAACACGAATCGACCCACATATGCAATCAAGCAGCATGGGGCGCTCAGCCCAATCACATGATCGAGTGTAGTTTCGAAGGTGCCTGTTGCGCAGTACTCGCGATAGGAGCGCGCAAGGCGCATGCGAACTGGTGTGCGTCTGTCATATCGCTGGCGCCGCCCGTACCACTTCAATTGTGATAGCTCATTCGCGATGCTTCATTCGCGGGTCACGATCGAATTGCTTGTGGGCACGCTTCATGACTGCTCGGCTAGCGTCGCAGCGCTCGCAGCCAACATCTCAACCCGCCTCTGGCCCCGAGGATTAGCGACGCCAGATTGAACAGGCTCGCTGCGTCACCTCTTCCTGCTCGCGATCTCATCAGGCTTCAGTCTCGAAAACGGTTTGGGGTTGTACAGATTGACACGTCGAGGATAGTGACAATATTCGGATGAAGCTTTTTCACGCGATTGCGCTTGTGACAAGCCGCACCGGTGTGCGTTTGTGTGCGGACGTATGGTGTACCTTTCAGGCACGCATAAGGTCGTAGCTGAACTGCATGAGCGAACGAGGATGGGTCGGTGATGTGCTTCGAAATGCGGAGATGGTTGGGCCGTACACCCCGTTTACTTCTTGCTGGCGGCTGCCTTGACGACGAGCTTCACCACCTTGGCCTCCTCGACCAGGAATGCTCGGATGATCCTGCGCGTCAGGTGGAAAAGATCATCGATCAGCATCTTGCTTGCGGCTTGTGCGCGACCTAACGTGCGATGCGCATGCTGCGATCTATCCAGCCTCGAACACCTCCCCCTCCCTGCTCCTCTTGCAGACGCTCACCTGGTGCGAACGCAGTTGGCGCATCTGGAACCACCGTAAGCGCGCTGAACAGTCTTGTTGGTCTTCGAGACGGTAGCGTACTCTCTAGGTCTCAAAGCCTTGACACCGGCCAGAGCAGTGTGGCAATCACCGCATTTGGGAGAAGTTGGCAGCTTCTTGACGTGCAGGTAGCGCAACTTTCCTCCGGGAGTCTTGATCACGCGTCTACGGTTAGACTTGGTGTTGTAAGGAGTGCGCTTGCGCAGAGTAAGACGCTCGACCATCTGTGCGAACGTGACGTGTGAGTTCGGGTCAGCATGCTGGAACGCTGGACGAGGGTGGGTGGAGTTGCGCATAAAAGTGCAGGAATGCTTGCCGCCAGGCAGCTATTCGAAAGACTGTTGGACTTGCCCATAAGCGGCACTCCCTCGCGACGAGCCCGCACGCATGTTCGAGGAAGCGTTCCAAACAGGCCACCTTCCGTAACCACCCTTAGCCACAAGCTCAACTTCTAGCGCTGTGCCCATCTGCCTTTTTACCCCTCGTCCACTCAAAAATACTAAACGATCTGTCCAGAGCACCATAGCCCCCGCTGACCGCTACCAGTCTCCGCACCACCCCGCCGAGTCCTCGCACTACATTCCCTCCCATGCAAAGACGTAGGGAATGCTGATGCTCACTTTGATGAAGTTGCGGTTGTTGACGACGTGTTAGAAGGCTGTTGGCGGTTGTTGGTAAAGAGATCGTGGAGGACAGCGAGCAATGGCGATGACAGCACGATTCATCGCACACGCCAGAAAGTCCAAAGTTCAAGTCCACCTGCACGCCTGCCTTGTGCAGCGCGCAAGCCGCGCCGCCCCCTGCGCAATTGCTCGTCAGAACAATTGAAGTTGAATCGCTGCTGCGGTCGAGCATTACAAATTGCGTCTACCGCCGCGCCCGCTGATGGAAGTTTTGTTAATGCGCGATATCGCCACGTGGAGCGCCTGCACCTGCAGAAAAGGCGTGCCAGGCTCTGGCACCGCGCACCATCAGATGCAGCGTCAGCTCAGCTCAGCCTAGCCTTGCACGGCGCGCGAGCGGGCGACCGGACAGGCGGACGCACAGCTGGGCTGCACGTTGTCGCAGACTTGAAATCTGTTGGCGGCTGGCTCCATCGCTCTCTGACGCGCGACCTCCGGCAACCCCCACCTTTCTCGCACCACCACGCTCGACAATTTGACAAGCGACTCCTTCAGCAGGTCAGTACGCAATGTCTTGACTCGGAGATGATGACTGTCCGGCATCTGGAACGTTGGACTAGGAAACATAGGACGTGGAGGCGAGAGGTGCTGGACGGGAAATCGGGTGGCGAGATGGGCTCATCGCTCGGGGTCAGCTTGCACTTGAAGGGCGGCGATGCTGGGGAGTCGCAGCGCCAAAAGTGGGCAAACCTTGCAAAGGGGTTGGTGCAGAGGCAAGCAGCGAGGTCGTCGCTCAGCCGTGCGCTGTACCGACCAGGGCTGAGATCGCGTCGTCAATGACTCTGGCTCAGTTGCGGTCAACGGTGGCCTCTGCCTTACCGACGTCCATCCGTCCGCCTGCTCTGCCGCTACCGTACTCGGGCGCGCTCCGTATCTGCAAACAGGATGCGCGAGCATGATCGCTTTCTAGCAAGCAAGTACTGACATGCAATTGACCTTTTTCTGCATCTCAGTCCAACTTACACCCAGCACAACACACTTTCGAGGAGTAGTACAACTTGCAAAATGGGAAAGGTTCACGGATCATTGGCTCGTGCCGGAAAGGTCAAGTCTCAGACTCCCAAGGTCGAGAAGCAGGAGAAGCCCAAGCAGCCCAAGGGTCGCGCTAACAAGCGAAACCTGTACAACCGGTAAGTGCTCGCATCTGAGAGATCAAGTTCGGACAGGTCTGAGATGGGATGATGCTGCAGATGAGCGCTTGTCGTGGAGACCAGCATGACGAGAACGACGAGTCGTGACCGCTCCGATCACTCACGAGATCATTTCTCATACCGCACTACAGCCGATTCGTCAACGTCGTCGTTGGACCCGGTGGCAAGCGTCGTGCCAACGCTCAAGGCGTGAGTTTGGGCCCCTCACTTTCGCACAAAGATTGTCGCTGATCGTTCTACCTTTCTTGCCACAGCAATAAACGTCTCGGACAGGTTGTATGCTCGCCATGATTGTCTAGCTTGTCACGTTTCGTCGTATCAAAAGGGCCTCCAGAAGCAAGACGTACCATCTCGTCACAGCTCTCTCGAGCCATGTAACACATCCCCTCGACATCCTGTGCTCTTGCTCCTGCTTCATCGCAGACGAGAAGAACGGATGCATCACACGCAATCAAGCTCACACGCTTCTCATCATGCAATCCATTAGTCTCGTACCACAATCTTGGCGCTCTTGGGAGTAGCTGGATGTTGATGTGCACTCGTCTGAAGCGCCAACTCACTAGCGGAGAGCTGCAGCAATGCATTCGTTGCGCATCAACGCCATGACTGGCAAGTCTAGATGGACATTCTTTTGATACTTGCGCTCCAGAAGATGCACAGAGTCAGGCAGGCTTGATCGCTTGGAACCCATTGACAGGCTGAACGAACACTACCATTTTGTGTCTGCGTCAGCCACAAGCGCTGCGACGGCCATCTCACTCTCCAGAAATGGTTTCAAATACTGCGCCTCTGTGCTGCGAATGTGCGCGCTCTCGCTCTCGAGCAACCACATCGATGGTCGTATTCGCCGAATTAGGCTGATCGAGATCTGGTTAGCCATGCACTCGATGAAGGTCGAGCATGTCATCAGTGCTGCAGCCCCGTCACCGTCATTCACGATTCATCTCGTCTTTCGGTGCTCTTTCGCGAAGAGCCCTGCGCAGCAGAAGCGACAACTAGATCAGACCAAACAAGCTTAGTGCGCATGCGCGTCTACCACCCCGGTGACTCCAAATTCCAGCAGGCTGCGTCTTTCCCCGCGATGGCACACACGAGGTCGAGCTCGAAATGCGTGAATGAGATTGATGAGACCTTGGAGCGGGTCATGGGTCGTCATATGGTTTGGTGTACATGAATGAACTTTTGGGCCTTGACAGCGTCCCCTTTCGAGCAATCAACGTGGCAGCATCGTCGATTGCAGGACTTCAGTCCAAGTGGCTTAGCGGTGCTGCGGAGCGAGACAGGGGGCAAGTAGAAAGTTCGACGATGAGCTTGGGGGCCGGCAAGGCGCAGTCCTTCGAACGCGAAGATTGACGATGCTATCAACATTCCTCGATTCGCGCTCCTCTCGTCTCGCCGTCTGAGCATGATGTTTGAGGTGCAACACTTGACAGAAGCGACTCACCTTGACGAATCCGATGGCATCTGCCTTCTCGCGGAAGCACTGACGGCAAATGTCCAAACCTGCGCGGTTGACAAGGGAGCCCCCAGCAGTACGAGTGTGAGCTCAAGCATGCCAACGCGATGCACTTGTAGTTGCCTCGTCCGAGACTCACCGTACTTGCGGATGATACCGCCATTGTTACCGCAAACTCGGCATTGACGACCTCCCTTGGAGTTGTTGCGAGGGTGGGTGAACCACACGTCCTTGTGAGCCATCTTGACTGCTGCAGGGACAAAGAGGCGAAGCAGCGGCGGTCAGCACGATGCGACTCGAAAGTCAAGTGATTCGGTCATCGATCTGCTCGAATTGCCTTCCGCCCTACATCATCGCTGAGTATGCTTTGTTGGGTCGTGAAGCTGCAGTCCTGACCTGAGCCGGACCTCTGATCTTTGCCTTTGCCAGGAGAGACTGGCGAGATGGATGTGAGGCTAGCAGCATCCCCATTGGCCGCCACCTGCTTCCGCTGCGTGCGTCATTCATCGAGACCGAACGGCTTCGCAATGTGGTGGCCACCCTTGCCTTTGCGATTCAAGTCACCCGTCTCGAGCTCCTCATCGTTCCAGCCTGACGCGGACTGCTCTGTGCCCATTGCACTCGACCTGCGCGCTATCGGGATGCTCACATATTAGCTAGTGTTGGGAAGTTGAAAAGGCTGAAAAGCTTCGTCGAGGTGTGTTGCTGGAGTCGAGAAGCAGTCCAGCACTGCCAGAGCGGCAGGATCCCATATTCCTCTCGTAAGATGCGTGCATGGGTGGTCAAGGGGGGACGCGTGCTCGAGGAAAGTTGGCTGGGTGTGACTTGACCACGTGGCAAATTCGGCGCTAGATGGCATGCCGCCGACGACACGCACGAGAAAAAGTTGCATTGGTGACCGCAGCTGCTCCAGAGCCCGCGCGCGCGGTCGCGGGCATCACGATTCAGCGCCATGCTTGCGTGCGCCCGCGCGCGCGCGTAAGCCGCATCGGCACACTGCTCGAATGCCTCATTACCTTTGCGCGCAATTGGCGCACCCTCAGGTTTGGCTGCGAGTCTCGGTGACTGGCGGGCGGCGCCTGCTACAGTCAGATCTCTGCGGTGCGTGTGCGTGGTGTGCGCGCGCCCAGGCTTTGGTCGCCTTGAGTTGATCAATCGCCCCCGGTTTTTACTGCCTGATCACCACCAACCACACCCTCTCGACACACCACTCACAGACTCGTAAGTATCCCCTATACTCTTTCCGCAACCTTGGAAAGCAGATACTGCCGCAGATCAATGGCTGTTGTAAGGCCGACTTGTGCCCAGCTTGCCTCGTCGGACCGGTGGGGCTTGGGGAGGAGCAGCTCGAGAGGAGACGGATCTGTGGAGAGCAGTATTCGCACCCTTACTGGGCCCTGATGGGTGACAACGTGCTGGTGCAGGAGGAGACCCACTGAGCCTGCTTCAGCAACGACGACGCAGGGGCGTCTGTCCGAGGGCTGGTACGGCCCCTGCCTCTCTGCAGGCTCTGGAGCAGGGCTAGGCGAATATCAATTCTCAGATCGGCGGAAGTCCCGCACTACTTGCGCTTACCCATCGCAGTTGGCCAAGGCGTCGACAAGGCTAGATGGATGCGGACGCAGCCCAGTCGGATGATTGGTGGCGTCGGTGAACCTCTCGCTGGCCTCGATGACTCGATCGTGACTCGAGCAGCATGGGCTGGCACGGCTGAGCATCGAGTCTGGTCGCAGTCTTACGGGATATGCTGTCGTCTTGCACGCAAACAAGCGCATACAAAAAGCAAGCTGCCTCTGTCACAAAGCTTACCCCTTGCTCCTCATTTCCCTGCCTCCCTCTTCGCAGCTCAAGATGGTCAACCTTCGTTCTCAAAAGCGCCTCGCGGCGTCCGTTCTCGGTGTCGGAAAGCGCAAGATCTGGCTGGACCCGGCCGAGCAATCCGACATTGCCAATGCCAACTCGCGTGCCAACATTCGCAAGCTGATCAAGGATGGTCAAATCATTCGCAAGCCCGTTGTTGGTCAATCTCGCGCTAGAACGCGCGATGCTCACGCTGCCAAGCGTCTCGGTCGTCACACTGGCACCGGTAAGCGCAAGGGTACGGCCGAGGCTCGTATGCCAACCAAGGTCATGTGGATGCGCCGCCAACGTGTCCTCCGCAGACTGTTGCGCAAGTACAGAGAGTCTGGCAAGATTGACAAGCACTTGTGAGTGGACGAGAGGATTGAAGTGGCGACGCATCCGAAACGGTCGATCGCGAGACTTTCGAAACTTGCGAGACTGACCTTTTGTCGCCTGGACTCGATGCAGGTACCACGAGCTCTACATGAAGAGCAAGGGTAACGTCTTCAAGAACAAACGCGTGTTGATGGAGCACATTCACAAGGCCAAGGCAGAGGCCACTCGTGCCAAGCACCTCGCGGACCAGATGGAGGCTCGTCGTGTTCGCAACAAGACGATGCGCGAGCGCCGTGCCAACAGATTGGCGGAGAAGAGGTCCGCCATCACTGCGGTGGAGCAGGAGACCGAGCAGAAGTAGGCGCGTCGTTGCGCATCGTCCCGCGCCGCCTTCGTCATGCCTTGTCCCGCGTCATCTTTTGTTCGGCCCTCATCAACTCTACGCCCAATAGACCGTGTCCTCATCGCGCACAGTCACACATACATGCATTCTACAATCAAGCATCAGCTCTTCGTTGACACTATGCAATGCGCCGGTTCTCGCGCTCGACAAAAATCCCCAAAACCAACATCTATCTTCTCTCTCTCACTTGCCTCTGAGCGACCACTAGGCTTGCTCTGCAAACGAGGAGAGCCAACGATGTGGATCGTACCGACCAGACTTGAGCACGACTTTGTCGACTCGCCCGCTCTTGTTCCTCTTCGTCGTGACGCAATTCGATCCCTTGTACTACAGCGTTTGGTGTGTGTGCGTGTGAACAGAAGACGGGTACTTGCGCTGGTTGCGCCCAGTCAGACGGCCTGCTTGCGCGTCGTCGGCCTCAGCGACAGCAAGCAGGCAACGTAGGCCTGCTCGGCTGCTCGGTCACTCAGAGACGCCTATGATTGGTCCAGTCAACATGCCACGTTGGTCGGAATGCTTTGCCGACACAAGAGCAGATGCGACTCGTCACAGATGAGGTCCTGCGACCCGCCGCCATCGACGAGGTCACAGCGACGCTCCACGCTAGATGCTGGATGATGGGTGCAGGGACTGCATATCGCGAACGGTTCTATGGACCGCTCGGATGTTGCTGAACATGTCTACGGCCCGCTTCCGATGCATCGTCAAGCGGCGTGCTGCGACCGGCGTGTGAGCAAGCCGCGGCTCGTGCTATATGGAGTGCTACACAGATCAAGGTAGGGGGATGTGATCACAGAAGCTGACTTGACCGAGCAGGCGAGGCTGGTAGGAGCAAGTCGTTGCTGAGGCTAGACTTTCGAGGCTGATCAAGGGGAAAAGAAAGATTTTGGAGGGGATGCCATGAAGAGAGTCTGGGAGGAAGCTTGTGGGTGTGTGGTTGATCAGGCACCTCAAAGGACGTTGTTGCATCTCAGAACGGACAGGTAACGGCGGGGCGCTTTGAGATCGGAGTGAACTTGAATCGCCGAAAGCAAGGCACGAGCGTCGATTGGGACGCTGGTCATTGCGGACGCCTCTGTCTAGATGTTCGTTGCGAGCGTTGTGTGTACCTGCATGAGCTGGCTTTCGCGATTGTGCGTCCATCGCATGCGATTGAGTGACGCTCGCGGTGTCTACATTGCCGCTGACATGTTCGATCGTTGACGCCTCTCGTCTTGTGACAGCAGTCGCAGCTGTCAAGATCCAGTCACGCTCCACTCGGGGTACATCCACCCCCAGCGCGAGCCGTGCCTGAAAGTTCAACAGTCAGCTTTAGCGCTCAAGCACGGCTGATCTCGCTTCGTCCTTTGAAAAGTAGAGCGACATGCAATGTATCGTACGTGCGACATCCGACCTCCAGGTAAGATCAAGGCACCCAATGAGTTGACCTTCGTTGGGCGCTCATCTCGACAGCCTGGCAGTGCGGGACCGGCGGTGAATAGATCGCGTCCCTGTGCGCATTGGTCGGCCAGATGCGGGCCGTCCGTCGCGAAAAGAGGAACATTGCAGGGCAAGTTGCCGTACCTCGTGCCACTGGGATGGGGGCACATGTGACCCGTCGGTCGTTTCCCTAGACATCTCGCTTCACGTTTCGAAGCGTTCATCCTCTGCTAGAGGAAGTGCTCAGGAGAAAGCGCGCGCCGAGGTGTGGACCAGATGAAGGCCCTCGACCTGGCCGGCGGTCAGTAGAGAGATGGATGCAGCAATATATAATAGCGAGCAATGATTCAGCGACAATCCCCTCGAGACTCGCCGCAACACGTCCTTGTATCCGCAATTGACTGCCATTATCGCCAGTCCAGCCTGTCTCTTTGATCAACAACACACAGCTCCGACAGCACCCCACTCACCATGCAGCTCTCTCGCGCTTTCATTGCTTTGTCCATCGGCCTTTGCGCCGCTACTATGGTGGCAGCGCAGACCGCGCAGCCCGACTCGCTCACGGACCCCAAGCTTCCAAGTAGTTCTGGCGACGACAAGAAGTTGGACCTCCCGAACGATGACGTGTCCACCAAGAAGAGCAAGAAGACCAAGTCGGCCGACACCACTTCCCTGCCTGACGACAAGACTACCGACGCTGGCACGTCGGATACGTCTGATTCCCCCGACCTTGCCGACACTGTAAAGTCGGGTGACCAGAACGCGGAAAAAACCAAGAGCAAGAAAGGCAAGGACGAGAGCTCTAAAGTCGAAGTTACCGAGCCAGGGAAGGGCATCGGCGCTGGCGCCGACCCAAGCACTGCGTCGGGCGAGGATTCCGGCAAGCTAAAGGTGGCCCCCATCAACAGCATCATGGACGGCTACGTCAGTGAGTCAGCTTCGATGAGCGGTGACTGCCGACCGAGTCCTTGTCACTCACGCTCATTCTCGCCTCGCCACGCTATTGCAGATGTTACCGTTCCAGGGGATGATGCTTCGAACGGCAAGTTTGCTGCAGACTGGGCTATGGGATGCAACGAGATCACTGGCAAGTACAGGACGCAGAACAACTACAAGGAGCTGGACAGCAAGACCAACAAGAAGGCTGCCGTGCTGTGCATTGCCCGTACCGGTCCGACCAAGGGCGAAGAGGAGTGAGTTGGCGGCGCCACTGCTGCACGCGTGCTTTTTTGCCAGAACCACAGATGGAGCTGATCGTTCCACCGCCTTGTTTGTGCGATTCATCGATTTCGCTCTCGTTAGGATCTTCTTGGACTACACCAAGGTTCTGGTTCAAAAGATGAACCTCTCCAACGGTACCGATACCACTGCCGCGCTGGACACTGGCGCGGCGATTGACAAGGGCACCAAGTCGGGCGCGACCGATCCATCGATCAACTACGGTTCCAAGGATTCCAAGGACGGCCCTACGGATCAGCCCATCGATCCCTTGGCCTCTACGCCCGACTCGACGACGGATGCTGGTACGCCCGACGACACGACCACACCTACGACGGACGATCTGCCCACCTCCAAGTCTTCGGACACCAAAGACGACACCAAAGACGACACTAAATCGTCGAGCAGCAAGTCGGACGGGAAGAAAAAGGAAAAGAAGGAAAAGAAAAAGTCGGACAAGAGCGCGCAAGGGTCGTTGACTTCGACTGATGTCAAGCCCACCGATACCGAGACCGTTGCCGGCACTGCTGGAAGCGAGACTACCACCTCGCCGCAGAAGCGCTCCGGCTTCGTTAGACGCTCGCTGGCCAAGAAGCTGCGTCATTAAGCCAGCCGCTCGGGGCATGGCAGTGGGAATTATAGCTTGCTGACATGTACCTCCCGCCGCCGACGTGACTGTCCAAAATAAAGGGACGAATGGACGAACGATGACCCCCGCACGCTCTAACTTTGACTGGTTCATCGTCTCCCATGCCCTCTTGACCTGCCTTGCGGCGCCAGCAGCTCGCCCACAGCCCCTCTCTCACAAATATTTCTCTCCTTTTGCTCCAATTGTCGCGCTGAAATTACATGTGCTTTATCCTCTTGTTTTGTTCAATGACCAAATTTTCTTAAGCGGGGTAGCACCTAGCGACCTCTACCTGCCTTTTCCCATGGTTTCGCCTCGCGTTCGCCTTTATTTTCGCTCTTGGAGAGATGATTTGCGTATGAATGGTGGAAGCTGTAAGAAGCAAGAACGACTTGCAAATTCAGTCTGCGCATCCTCAATCGATCGACCCAATGAATCGCATGGGATGGAAGATATCATGGATGGCTCAGGTTCGAGTCACGTGACTATCGCCTTGATCGCTCATTTTGTGGAGGTCCGCGGACGAGAGCGCATGGCGTGGGTCAATTAGAAATTGAATGCGAATTACGAATCACGAATCACGTGAATGCATGGCACGCGTACCAGTCAAGAGTCTTGAGTGTGACTCGTGAGACCACGCATCCATCACCTACCTCGGACCCTCATCGCGGGGGCGCCCATCATCGCATGGACACACTTGCACTCATCACTCGCATCCTAACATCGATCACCATGCGATACCTTGCTGCAAGCTCAAAGTTTGTCCACCCATTCGCAAAAAGCATTCGATGGGGTTGCAGGTCGAGAGCAGCAGCGAGCGCAGGTCTCCCCAAAGCGACGAGTCAAAATCGTCAAGGCCAATCGTGAATCACTGGAACCACGAATGCGGGTGCGCGTTCGCATTCCGCGCGTTGGATGTGTCGAAATTAGCACAATTTTGTGCGCGGGCAAGGCCGCCAAATCGGGAAATTTTGTATGGAAGAGCGTCGAAAGTGGATGTGCGATGGGTTGCTCGTGAGACGGTGGATGCGATGAGTCAGCATCAGGCATCAGCACCGGCATCAGCATCAGCGTCGGCTTCGACGCAGGCGCAGGCGTCCATCGTTCGTCAATAGGCGCATACATGCTCTGATCGACTCGCAACTTATCAACGGGAAGGCGTCTCACGCGAGATCCGTCTGCCTCGCCTGCATGGCTGCTGGAATTTGATGCGGGTGATGGACCAGCTCGAATGCCTGCTTTCCATGGGGCACGATCCAAACACGCAGACGCATCTTACCAGTTCAAAGTGCGACTGAACGTGATGGCTTGCACGCCCGCCGAATCACGCAGCGATCTGAAGTAAAGCAGCGCTTCACGACGATCGCAAGGCACCGAGCCAGCTGCGAAACATCCCCCTGGTAGACATCACAATGCGATCTCCTGGCGCGCGGATGTATGCTGTATCGTTGGTGCAATCTCATGGGTCCGCTCCAAAGTGCGTCGTCGGTTGTTGATCGATCGGCGAAGCTCGAGCCACTTTCTCGTCTCTTGCGACCAGCCATTCGAATGATGTGCAGCGAGACCTGCGACGCTTCCACGATGCTGCGAGGTGTTGTAGAGGCACGATGCGCGCAAAACGCAATGTGCTCCCGCCGCTGCTCGCGTGAAGCGGCAAAAGGTACAAATGCCAGCGGTCGAGTTTGCCTCTACATCCTGACTCCTCTCCTCAGACTCGAATAGACCGACGACCTGGCGTCGACTACAAAGCACAAAGACGACAACGACAAAGAATCAGAAGAAGAGTGGGAAAGAGAAGACGACGACGACGACGACAAGCATCGATCGACACATTCAACAGCAACACCGCGCTCTCTCGCACACAGACACACACGCACGCACAAACGCATGCACGCTGCGCTCACATCATGCACTTTTTGCGCTCTCTCATCTTTTTAACTGCCGTACTGACCAGTCTGCCCGCGGTCAGGTCTCGACCTGTGGCGGATAGTCCAGACGGCACAAAGCCCGAGGCTTCTCCCGTAGAGAGTATTCTGGATGCTCTGGTTGGTGAGTGCGCTCCCATGCGCGCGCGCGCGCGCGCCAGCTAGCGTTCCGCAAGAAGCTGATCACTGGTGCGAACGCCCCGCCATGCTCTCTCCGCACCTCAGATGTGAACTTCAAAACGTCGGCCAAGGCTGCTGAGCATCGCTTCACCAAGCTTTGCGACAGCATTACTGGCAAGGCTAAGCAAGAGTGCGCTTATCAGCCTGGAACGAAGGGAACGGCTAGACTTGCCTGCGTCGCCCATGTGGGTGGTGCTTCTTGGAGCAACGGTGGTACGAATGGGTGAGTCGTGCTGGAGAACAGGAGAGGGCGAAAGAGAGACTGGAGCCCATTCAGGTTCGAATGGCTTTCGCAAGAGTCATGCAACCTATTTGGTATGCCTGCTCAACCCTTTTTGGGTCTCCTCCTCCCTTGACATCGCTCGACTACGCTACAGCACCCTCTTCGACTTCACCTGGGCAGTGCTCGCTCAGCTCGACTGGAACGTGACTGGGGAGCCGGGGAAGAATGGATCGGCAAAGAGCCTCGATGCTCCTCCCTCGTCCGCTTCTCATCCGGATGATCAGTCGAACGGGCAAGGGGATGGCAAGACAAAGCCGGACGATGGCTCTTCCAGTTCTTTGCCAGATGGCAAAAGCGACACGACAAAGACGAAGCCGGATGGTAGCAGCACTGACAATCAGCCTGATGGCACGACGAAGCCGGACGGAAGCAGCAGCGATCAACCTGATGGCACGACGAAGCCGGATGGCAGCAGCAGTGATCAACCCGATGGCACAACAAAGCCGAATGGCAGCAGCAGCACCGACGGTCAACCTGATGGCACGACGAAGCCGGATGGCAGCAGCAGCGATCAACCTGATGGCACGAAAAAGCCGGATGGCAGCAGCAGTGATCAACCCGATGGCACGACACAGCCGGATGGCAGCAGCAGTGATCAACCCGATGGTACGACAAAGCCGGATGGAAGCACCAGCCAGCCCGATGGCACCACAAAGCCGGATGGAAGCACCAGCCAGCCCGATGGCACCACAAAGCCGGATGGAAGCACCAGCCAGCCCGATAGTCAGACTCGTCCCGACGGCAGCAAATCCTCCACCAGTCCAACGAGCACCTCGCCAGACGGCACGAGCAGCACTCCATCGGACACGAACAGCGCATCCGAACCCGACTCGAAGCAAGGAGGCAGCGAGACTGCTCCTCAGGACTCCAATCCCACGACCGAACAACCCAACGACGGCTCCAGCGGCTCAAACACGAAGCCCATCAATAAGGACACTGATCAACCCGGCACGACCGACGGAGACATTGTGGATGACTCCCCCTCCTCGACGCCTGACACGACTCAAGGAAGTGCTGACGGATCCAAGAAGACGGACGGAACCACTGAAGGTGCACAGCCCTCTTCGACGCCAGACAAGACGTCCCAGCCTGAAAGTGAGCAACCTGATGGTTCCACCAAGTCGGCTCCCTCGACATCGAACCCGGACGGCAGCACCTCGACTACCCCGGACACCAAGCCCGACAGCAGCACTGACACTACGCCTGATGGCAAGACGACGGCAGAGCCTTCTGCGAACCCTGACGGCAGCACATCGACGCCATCTGCAACACAACCCACTGATCAAGGTTCCTCCAAGAGCCTTCCAGCCAGCCAGGAATCCAAGCCGGACGACGGTAGCAGCAGCGGCGGTACACCATCGGAGCAGCCCGATGGTACGACTGCGAACAAGAGCTCTCCAGATAGCAAGGCTTCGGGCACCAACCCATCGAACCCTGACACCCAGCCGCAAGAGGACCAGGACGCTTACCCATTCAAGGATCACGATGCTAGCACGAACAAGGGGTCGGGCGACGACAAGCCTTCGGATAAAGGCAAGGCGGGTTCTGGCGAAGCCAAGCTCCAGGGCGGCGGTTCGAATGCAGAGCCGCACGACGAGCCGAAGGACTCTCAGCCGACCTCTGAACCCAGCGCCACGAGTCCCTCTCAAAGCGGTCAGGAGCCCGAGAAGGAGGACACGGCATCAGGTCAGCCGAACGGAGACGAAACGGGGTCAGAGCAAGGCAAGAAGCACAAAGGCTTCAAGATTCCGGGCCTCGGCAAGATTCCTGGATTGGACGGCGTAGACTTGAATGACTTTATCCCGGATGACAAATTCTTTGGCGATGAGGGGTCTGGAGATTGGTTCCCTAACGCTCCGTTCGACTCTGACGAAAGAAACAAGACGGCCAAGGCGGTCCCTGAAGTTGGGCAGACACCTACACAGCCCGACTCTCCTGATTGCGAGGAGAAGAAAGAGAAGTCTCACGAGGCGGACAAGGCGACGACTGCGGAACAGCCTGCGGACACGAATCAGTCGACCGACGCAAAGCAGCCTTCGGACAAGGTCAAGCAGGCCGACGAGCTCTCAGAACCGGGAAGCGCATCGGACAGCACTCCAAAGGGGACCAATGCGCAGAAATCCGCGACACCTGACTCGAGCACGCCTGCGGATACCGGATCTGCTCCCCAGCAGACTGACCAGTCGGAACCAACTTCCTCTCCAGATCAGACCACCTCCCAAAAGTAGACGAAAGGCGGGAATGACCTCGTTCTGTTTTAGGATTTCTCTGCTCCACACGCACTCCACTTCCTCCATTTCCTCAGCTCCAGCTGCAAGGGCCGTCCTTTCGCATAGACGAAACGAGCGACCCTGCCGATGACACCTCCATCACCACTACCACATTGAGCACTGTGCGCGGGATACGACTCTCAATGCCGATGATGAGTGTCGAGGATTCCTGAGTGCCGCGAGCGTGAGCTACGAGTTTGTCATGATGGTCGAAGGCATCAGCGAGCGCCTGCACGGCTTCGGAGATCTTGCACGCGCGAGCGCGTCGATGTGCATGCAAGCGGCAGGGGGGAAACGAAGCGTGCCGGTAATCTTCAAAATCTCCGAATGTGGGGCGCAGGTGTGCAGCTCAATCCCCGCACGATGCTCATCATCATCATTTTGGAGCGCTATAGCTTGTTTGCGCAATCACGAGCCATCAAGAAATCAGTTGGAAGCGACTTCGTCGTATCGTCATCCTGAAGCTTGGCGCGCGCGCGCGCTATAGATGCACATCTCCGTCCGAACGGAGCACAAACTCCGCGAGATGATCAGCGCAGACTGGCGCGCCTTTGACACCCCGATTGGCATTTGGACGCACACTCTGTTTGGTGAGCGAGTGTTGAGAACACTTTGCCCTGAGCCAACGAAGGTGTTTCTATCTGTGGCGCCTCGCAGCTGACATTTTTTGCCAGGTTCGCTTCGCCTTTCTGGGCCTCCAGGGGCTCGTAAAGGCCCCTCGCCGGCTATAAATGAGCGCTGTCGAAACGCTCAACGTTTGGCTCCTCGCTTTCGTACACCCCAATCCGGCTCTCATCGTTTGTCCTTGCCCTCGCGACCCATCTTGGACCAAATATGAGCTCCTATCGCCACATTCTGCTTCCGCTCTTGGGTCTGCTGACCATTGCGGTAGCGCTGACGAGTGGTTCACCTCATCGTCGTCAGACCTCCAAAGTGGGTTACCTCTTTGTTCACTTTTACGATAATTACAAGTCTCCAGGAGATTACAGCACCTATCCAGCAGGCGAACAAATCTTTGCTCACATCAGTGACGGGAACGATGCGACGGCTTACAAGCCTCTGAACGGTGGAGCGCCACTTTTGACTTCCAATGTGGGCACAAGGGCCGTGCGCGACATGTACCTCGTCTCCAAGCCGGACGAAAGTCAACACTACATCATCGCTACGGATCTGAACCAGACCGCCGTCGGTGGTTTCGGCGGAAAGTTTCTGAGCAGAAGTCTCGTCATTTGGGACAGCCAGGGTGCCAGCCTGTCCAAGTGGAACGCTCCCAGACTCGTCGAAGTTGTGCCAGAAGAATTCAGAGTGAGCCAGGCTGCCCAAACGAAGCGGATGAGGATGCGTTTGGAGATAGGTGACCCAGCTGATAGCCTCGCTCCCGAACCCGCAGATGGCTTGGGCTCCCGAAGCAGTGTGGGATGCGGCAAAGAGCCAATTTTTGGTCTACTGGTCGTCCAACCGCTATGCCGACGCGCAGCACACTGGCGAGCCAGACTACGACAAGATCTATACGTGAGTCACGAGTGGCGATGCGTGCGAGTGCTCGTCGATGAGTACCACGAGGGCTCACCTGTATGGTCCTGTCATCCATCGGCTCAGCTCGTACACGTCAGACTTCAAGACATTCACCTCACCCGAACTCTACCTGGACCGCGGCAACAACATTGGCGTGATCGACATGACGATTCACTCCACCAACAATCCCTCCAACGCCAACGAGTACGTGCGATTCTTCAAGGAAGAAAATGTGTACAAGTGTCGAGGTCAAGTATCTACATCCGGCGTTCAAGGTCCATGGGAGGACATTGGGGCATCGAACCAGTACGTCGATAATGATAATCAATCCGAAGCTTGCTTGTTCTTCCAGGACAATATCGACGTCAACAAGTGGTGGATCTTTTTGGACCAGTACGGTAGGAATCCGGCTGGTTATTATCCTTATACCGCTGATAACGGCATCACCAAGTACGGATACACGGACAGAGGTGTCACTGGCGCTTTTCCTCCTCTGCTCAAGCACGGTGTCGTCAAGCCGCTGACTCAGGCTCAGTATGATGATGTCTCGCAATGGAAGTCGTAGGGCGGCGCAGTCAAGCTGTCGGTAGAGAGTCGCAATTTCGAAAATGAGAATGCAAATTTGAACGCTTTCAGAACGATGAAAGTGTGCACACATGAGCGCGAACCCTGGTTTCGCGTATTCTGAACAAACTTCCTCCCTTCCCACTCACTCATCTACTGCTCCACGCGAGGCGCCTCGAGCGCACTCTGGTAGGTAGGCAAAGTCTCCTGACTAGTTCCAGCTCTAGGACTGATGCCAATCTGTGCGCCACCTGCATTCCTCCTCTCCTCCGCTCCAGCGGCCATAATAGTAGATCTCGATGACCCCGCTCCACTGGCTCCCGCGTTTGTCCTCTTTGCCCCCTTCTTCTCCTCGTGCCTCTTGAACACCTGTTCGATTTCCTTCTTCTCTTGTGAAAGCCTCAAGGCGGGATAGAGACCGGACAAGACCATTTTCCGAATTCAAAAGCTTGACTTTGTGAGATGCAAGAGACAGCGTTCGTTGAAGCACTTCGAAGCAGTCGAGTTGATGATAGCTGATCCCGATGATTGCTGTGGGTGATGGTGATGTTGGGGACGATGGATGTGCGCGTGCTCAATCGCGGTATGCGGCTCGGCGCAGCGGTCTCTCTCGTGCGTGCGTGCGTGCGTGCGTGCGTGCGTGCGTGCGTTTGCGTGCGTGCGTGCGGGTTTGCGTCGTGCATGCACCTAGCGATCGGCGCTAAGCTGGTGACCGGTGACCCCTGACCCATGCCGAAACGCATCAGACCGACATGTCGCCGCTGAGTTGACCTGCAAGGTATGTTCCCTTTGCGCTCACGCAACAAGCATCTCATTTCACACGCGCCACGAACAAGTCGCACCATCAAAGTCGTCGAGCAGCATCGCGCGCGCGGCGCCACATCGTGCTTCGCGCTTCCTTCCAGCGGCGTTTAAGCGAGACCTTGAAGCCTGACAGGCGGTAATTGAGCAAAATCGCTCGTCTCTGCCAGGTCCAACAAGGGTTTGATATTCTTCGTAGTCGTAGCGTTGCGCACTTTCTTCACGTCCATCTGAGCGTTGCCAGCGCGGGCAAGGTCGAGCGAGCTCTTCGTCTTCGTCGTCGAATCGTGTCGCAACAAAGGAAAGAGATCCAAGCTGGCTTCTTCTATCCATTCGGCCGACGCATCCATCGTCTCCTTTGAGCGACCAAACTCATCCACAATGTCCTGTGTGATCCGATCAGCATCGACTAGACGTTGCAGTATGCGCTGCACGCTAGCGCTCTCTTCCCGGTCCGCCAAGTCCAGATGCATCGCGTGCGCTCTCTCCGCCACGAGCAGCAGACACTTTCTTCGAAGCGTTGTGGACCTTATTTCCTGCTCGTCCAGCGCATCGTCTCCCGGGGCGAGTGTGGCCAGAAGCAGAACGTCTGCACAAACTTGCGCTTCCCAAGCCTTTAGAGATTCTTCTCTGACCGCTTTCAGAGGTCGGATCACCTCTACATCATCGCGCTCCCTCGTCGAGGGATACAGCGCACGCCTGATCGCCTCGTGGCGCGACAGACATGCAGCCACCCTTCCAATCGCAATCTTCGCGCTCGTCATTTTCTGCTCGCGCAGCAACGATCGGAGCATCTCTGCGCATCGTTGCACTTCGTCTTGTCCAACTTGCGGATCCAAAATGTCCTCGTCGGAGCGCAGGTGCGATTGCGAGCGTGACGTCCGCTGAAGCAGACTCTTCTCCTCGCCTTCATCTCGCTCCTTGTGCGAACCAACGCGCCGCGCATCGCAGTTCAGTCTTCGAGCCTTTCTTCGTAGGTACGTCTGCAGCTCCCACGCGACCTTGTGTGCTAGCGCTACGAGCTCGCTCCAACACTCTCGCAAGGCCGGTTCAGCCTTGATCAACTCTTCCACCAAGTCTGTGCTCGTGCCGGTGGTGCGAGTCGAGGAGTCGAACAGCAAGCGTCTCGCATCATCTACCACTTCCTGATTTTGCAGAGCCACGACAAATTCCTGCACCTTTCTCCCCAGACGCTCCATAGACGCCTTGTGCAGATCTCTCCTCTTCTCCCTCATCTTCTCCAACAGATCCTCATGCGCTTCCTCGCAAATTTCGAGCGCCCAGTTCAAAGCTTCTTCATCGTCCGCCTGTCCATTTCGACGACCCTTGCGCACGCTGCGCACCTCCCTCAAGCACTCCTCCCAGCTCTTTTGCAGCTCATCTTCAGCGTGCAAGAGCTGCACCAGCGTCTTTGGCTCCACTTTCGTACCCCTGCCCTCCCACCACCTCGTCTCCTTGAAAAGTCTCTTGACCTGCTCCACCCACTCCCTCAGCGCGCTTCTGCTCTCTCCAGCTCCCTCATCGCAAGGTCTCTCTGCTCGCGGTAAACATCGCAGCACATCGTTTGGTAAATACCAAGCCATGCCGTTTGTCCCTGATCGCTGCTGGTCCAATTCTGCATGAATGGCATCGTAGGCGGTAGGAGGAAAACGTGTGCTGGTGCCGATCTCTTGGCGCATATTCTTGTTCGCTCCACCCGCATCCGCACCCGCACCCGTACCCGCACCCGCACCTGCAGTGACCGACGAGCTCTTTCTTCGATCCAGTCTTGCGCGCGCGACGTTTGATGCCGATAATGTGCCGTTCGAATCGTGCCCTGCCGTCTCTACAGCAGGCGTCCAAAGACGCTCCAGCAACATTTCGAAGCGCGTCTTTTTCGCTTCTCCCATCTGTTCGACAAGGATAAAGCCATGCAGCACCTGCAGCACAGTCTTTGCGAACAGCGTCAGCGCGTGCGCGTACTTTGACTCCGAGTGCGAGCGCGAAAGGTGGGGCGTCGGTTGATTGGCCAAGAGGAGACGCAAGGATGCGAGACGGGCGCGCAGGAGATTGTCTAGTGAGAAAGTCGTCGCTGTCCTTTTCGTCTTCGTCGTCGTCGTTGATGAGTGGGAGGAGAGGAGTTGCTGGGAGAGTAGAAGAGTCAAAGTGGGCTGATTGGCGTGGCGGCGTGGTGCAGAATACGAGCGCGTTCGCTCGTTAGCTGCCGAAGCCTTGAGCGCGGAGAGGGGCAAGAGCGAGCGCTCGAATGTGCTCACCTTGTAAGCCGTTTCCACCCTCAAGAGCGATTCTACGGCATCGCGGAAGCGTATGCATAAAGGGTCTAATGCGGTATGAATCTCCTTGATGTAGGGGAACATGTTCTGCCGAAAAGCAAGGGATGAGCAGAGACGTCCGCTCCCGCATGAGTAGGTTTGCAGCATTCCAACGTCCCTGCAGCCATTCATTTGCCCCAGGCCACTCACGCATACATCCGGACGCGCCTGTACAACATCCCAGCAAGCCTGGCATATCCGCAACCTCCAAGCGACACGAATGACCCTGCTATGCACATCCTCCTCCTCCTCCTCTTTCTCGCCTCCCCTTTCCGCATGGCGTGCGATCTCCGCTTGCTCATGCTCATGCTCGTGCTGCCCTGCTACCGCAGCACGCGAGACTACGTGGCCATTCGCGTATTGCTCCGCCAGGCCAATACAAGCCCAGACGATGGGTGGGCTCTCTTGAATGTACTTGAGGCAACTCGTATACCCCAACAGCCTTTTCTCCTCTTCGTCCATCGTCGTCGTCGTCGTCGTCGTCGTCTGATGCTGATCGTGTTCAGCCTGCTCTCCACCTGCACTGGCCCCATCACCTGCACCAGCGCACGCCCAGCTGACGCGTCCCAAAGCGCTGCTCAGCCCAGCAGCGCTGCTTCCCATCGCAATGATGGTATCGGCACTATTCAAGAGATCCGCATACCTCTTCCTGACCAACCCTTTCAAGCTTTGCGAAAGCTCCTCTTTACCGATCTGAACAACCCTCTGCATTTGTTGCACTTCTTTCAGCGAAAGAGTGCGAAGAAGCGTGTCGGGATCGGTTTGCAGGGAGGTGGTGGTGGAGGTGCTTTGCGGCTTGGAAGAGAGGAAGGGAGAAGCAGCAGAGAAGGAGGAGGAGGAGGTGGTGGTGGTGGAGGTGGAAGAGTGCGTGTGGGGAATGAAGGATCCCACTGACCCTCCTGCTGCTGCTGCTGCTGCTGCTGCTGCTCCTGCTCCTTCCCCTGCCCCTCCAGCTTCAGCGCCAGAAGCGGATCCCGTCACAGCCGCGCTCCTGGCATGTCTCTTTCTGCGTCCACTCAGCGACGAGCTGAAGTTGAAGGAAGAGCTGCTGGATGCGACTTGATCGCCGCGCACAGGCGTCAAAGGGGTTGCGCTGGACATTGCTGTGAGCGAACGCGCGTATGCGTATGCGTGGGGCTGTTCTCGCTCTCGCTCTCTTGCCAGCAAGACGATTTCAGCTGTTGCCTGGCGGGCGCGGGGTGCGAATGTGGAGTGAGAGTCGAGGGCAGAGTTGGGAAGTTGGAGGCACAGTCGTTCGTTGTTGGCCTTCGTCGACGTCGACGTCGACGTTTGATGAGTTGTGTGCTGTGATGTGCTGTGCTGTGCTGTGCTGTGCTGTGCTGTGCTGTCCTCACACTCGTGACTTATTGGCGTACCTACACCGCGGTACGTGCACGAGTCTTGAGTCAAGAAGAGTCTTTGAGTCAGAGTGCACTCACTCACACTCAACTCACGACTCGTGACTCGTGACTCAACACTCGACTCGCGCTACTCACACTCACACTCACACTCACGTGACTCCTAATCATTCATCACACACGCCAAGTTGCGGAGTCACGTGTTGAAGGTGTATGAGCACACGTGACACGCTCGCTCGCTCGCTCGCCTTCCTTGCCCAACTTTTTTGAAATTCAAGAATTTCGCGTTTTGCAAGAAAAGCGATGCCAAGAGGGGAGAGACACTCATCAAGACTTCGCAGGCGCGGACACGGACACGACACAAGCCATAGCCATAGCGAAAGTCCGATCGACAGAACATCCTATTCTTAGCCCGCCCACCCACGCACTGCGCCCATCAACCCTCCCTCCCCCTCCCACTCCCACTCCCACTCCACCAATCACAATAACACTAACATCATTCAAACACGCTCGCGGCCCACAATCTCACAATCCAGCAAGTCCTCTGCCGCGCCTGCATACCCGCCTCCGCCGCCCCCCGCCCCCCGGCCCCCTCTTCTTTTTCGCCTTCTCGACTCTCCTTCAACACGTGACTTCGTTCGACTGCACTGCACTGCACTGCACTGCACTGCCACTTTCACTCTTCCACTCTTTCACTCTTCCACTCACCTTTTTCTGTCTTCTTCTCCTCCACCAGCATCGCCGCACCCGCACCCGCACCCGCACCCGCACCCGCACCCGCACCCGCACCCGCACACGCAGCTTGACCCTGCGTGTCCGTCGAAAGCTAGCTCGCTCGCTCGCTCGCTTGTGCGCCCCCCACCGCCTACGCCCACGGCCTACGCACAATGATCTCCTCAACAGCATGGGTCTCTCGCGGCTTGCCGGCGCGCAACCCGACAAAGTACGCGCTAGATCCCAACGAGATGCAACGTCTTTCCAAGTTGGCAGGTGTGCAATTCGATGAGGCCAAGGCGCAGTTGGAGAGCGCTCGTATACGATTAGCTGGAGATGTGGATGTGGAGGAGGAGGAGGAGGAGGAGGCGGAGGAAAGGGAGTGGAGCGATGAGGATGACGAGGATGATGAGGATGAGGGGAAAGGGGCGAGGAAGATCAAGATGCAAGAGGATCAGCAGGCGACGAAGACGGAGGCGGAGGCAGAGGCGGATCCAAACGACTTGTCGCGCTACAATCTGGACACGTACGGCGAGGATGATGAGGATGAGGATGGCATGGCGGGCGGCAACGGCAACGGCAACGGCAACAGCAACATCTTTAGCAACATCAAAGGCCTGCAATATCATCGCAACAACGATCAAGATCCCTACATCACCTTGCGCGGTGCCAGCGACTTGGAAGAGGAGGAAGCTGCGGAGAGGGAAGAGCTGCAGGTGCTGAAAGAGGACAATATGATCGTCAGTTGCAAGACGGAGGATGAGATCTCGATGCTGGAAGTGCACATCTACAATCATCACGCAAGAGATTTCTTTGTTCATCACGATCTCTTGCTGCCCGCCTTTCCACTCGCGCTGCAATGGCTCGACTTTAATCCTGCCGGCGTAGTGGGCGCCAGCAGCGGCAGCGGCAGCGTGGGGGCCAAAGGCAACTTTGTAGCGGTGGCTACCATGGACCCCACCATCGAGATTTGGAATCTGGACGTGGTGGATGGCTTGTTTCCCAATGCCATACTGGGCAATCAAGAGGCCGTCAAGGCGATGGATATGCCAGCTGGCACAGGAAAAAAGAGTGAGTGCGCGGGGCGAGCGCGGGCGAGCGCGTCGTGCTGTTCCTATTCCACCCCCCCCAAACTCTTTCTCACATTTCGCCCCGGCATGTAGAACGTCGAATGCCTGCTCCTCGCATTCCAAACGATGCCTATCACGTGGATGCGGTGCTGGGACTGTCATGGAACACGCACGCGCGCAACTTGCTCGCTTCCTGCTCCGCCGACAGTACGGTCAAGCTGTGGGATCTGACTCGAGCGCCCAGTGGCGCTACAGACTTCGACTCGCCAGGCGGCACGACGGCCCTTCGATCCTTTTCTCATCATACGGACAAGGTACAATCGGTAGCGTGGGACACGTCCGGTTCTTCCATCGGTGCAGTGCCCAACCCAGCAGTACTGCTCAGCGGATCGTACGACAAGACGCTGCGCGTATTCGATACGCGCACGCCAGAAAAGGGATTGATCGCAAATGTGCACGAAGATGTGGAGTGTTTGACTTGGGATCCTTGGAACGCCAACAGGTTCATCGCTTCGTTCGAAGATGGCCTGGTCAAAGCGTACGACGTTCGGTCCCTACCCAGCGCCCCCTCCTCCTCCCCTCCCTCCAATCCCAAGTCCAAATCCAGCGCAACGAAACAGCAACACGTCACGCAGGCGCTCTTCACCCTCGCAGCGCACGATGGAGCTTGCACCTCCGTCTCCTTTTCCAAAGATGTCAAGGGCTGCTTCGTGACGGGCGGAACGGATAAACTTGCAAAAGTGTGGAACGCCACGTATGAAGAGGATGACGCGGCGGGTGCGCAAGGCAGAGCGCCCAACAAAAGACCCAAAGAGATCGCTTTGGTCGCTAGTAGGGATTTGGACGCTGTGAGTGGACGCGTGCGCGCGCGCGCATCGTAATTTTCTTGTTCCTTTGTCACTGTCTCGTACATTCAAAATCTCTGAGCGTCTCACCATCCCTTGCTCTGACCCCCTCCCCATCACATCCCGTTCAAATCTTGCCCCCTCCTCCCACCCCATTCCAGGGAAAAATCTTTAGCACCTCTCTATCGCCCGACGATCCGCTCGTGCTCAGCGTAGGAGGCAGCGCTGGCAAGCTGCGCTTGTGGGATCTGAGCAGCAATGCGGGAGTGCGCAAGACTTTTGCAAAGAGCTTGCACGAGCTGCGCAGCGCTCGACCCGACATGACGCCCGATGCGGATGCGAGTGCGAGTGCGGATGAGGAGGCAGCAAGCGTTTTGGGATTGAGCGATGGGGATGAGGAGAGCGATGAGGATGAGGAAGCGGTGCGGGAGCCCGTGGAAGAGGACGACGCGATGAGGGAATGAGGCGGCGCGGGGGGGCAAAAATTCCCACAGAAAAGTCCCTTGGCGCAGCCCTCGACTTTTTGTTCCACACTCCATCAACGTCCCACTGTGCACGAGCGCCTTGGGGGCTAAGCAGCGGCGAATGTCTATTTCTCCAATGTGCTACCTTTGAGCAATCTGGCCCTTATAGAGCCTCCTCCGGGCGGTTTCTCTACGAATACACCCATCTCGAACGGCATAGCCAGATCGTCTGCTTCGTCCTCTGGCAAACCAAGAGCTTTGCATCTGCCCAGAATCCTCACCAGTCTTTTTCGGAGCTTCAAGAGCGCGCGGGAATCGTTGCGTACTTGACGAGCGCTCAGACCATTCAAAAAGTGATCCTGAGGGCGCAAAGGAAAGGAGAGCGGGGCCGGCCCGCGCAAAACGTGTTGGCCCCAACGCGAAGGGCAGTGTCGAAAGAGCAGGAGCACGAAAGGCACACTCACAGCTGCTTCGCCGCTGAACACTACAGGCAAGCATTTGCCCTTGTTCGACTTTGCCGACTCGTCCGATGCATCCCTCACTAGCAGACTAAAGAGGTACTTGTAAGATAAATGCGAACCTTCTTCGTCGGCGCATGCGGCGCAAAAAGACCTGTCCTTTGGCAATCTGATAGGAGTCGCGGGGGGGGTAAAGGGAAGGAGCCGCGCTTGCGTCGTCTTCAATTGCCGCAATCACTCACTCTATCCCGAGAAAGCTCGCGAGGCGAACACGACTTACTGTTCTTTGCAAATCTCGCACGTAACGCGTACCCAAAGATCCACATCATCCGGCTTGCAATCCACAGCCCTGACGCGCACGCGCAATGCTCCCTTGCTCTTTTCGCCATCCTTCTCCTCAAAGATTTCGTCTAGCAAAGTGATGGGCTTGGTGCTGGACAGCATACAATGCACCGGAGCGAGGCCCGGGGCGGTCCGATTGCGCGCTGGAGAGATTGGTTCAGGCTTGATCGTCCGCTCATTGGCAGACTGCGATGCGCTCGACGTGTCTAGAGAGAGAAGGTGGCATGACGCGCGACGCGCGACGCATAAACAACGAGCCTCTCGTCGGCGAGCCCTGGATCGTTCCCCCAACTGACCTTGCGTACGACTCGCACTGCCGCTCGAATTTTGCACCTCTCCCAGTACGCCTCGGTGTCTTTCCATCGTCCCCAATCGTTCCTCCACCTGATTTGCGGGTGATGACTCGCGCGAGGCTTCAGACAATGTCCGACTGTGCTCCTCCTCGGCCGCATCGGCTGCGCGCAGACACTCCTGGTCGTCACTATCCTCATCATCGCGCAAATGAAGCAGCTGCCTCTCTTGCTGTCGCTGTGCCATCACTCGCCTCTTGCGACTGATCACACGAGTGGCGACGCGTGTGAGCTCCATGTTCCCTCCCTGTTGCCCTTGCGCGCACGCAACGCACCGCACGGCACTCACTCTGCAATCTGTACAGCTTCCGGATTCTCGGGTCTAAGGACCGTAATCGTTCTTCTACCACCCAGCACGCCGCTAAGCATTCCGCCAGGCTGCTCTTTAGGTTTCAAATTCGCCATCCTAACAACATCCCCCCCACACAGACTTTGAGCGGCCAAAGTCTGCGCATCGAACAAGCTGACCGCACAAACATATCCACCTCCCTCTTTGCCCCTCTCCCTATCCCTCTCCACCTCTTCCGGCGTCATGTCTCCCAATTTGAAATTGTTTGCGCGCAAAAGCATGGCGCTGCACGTATAGTCCGTCACGTACACCTCTGGCGGTTGCATCGTTTCCGATCGCGGTATGAACACCTTGACCACCTCCACCACCACATCGCAAAACGTTCCTTTTTGCAGATCGCAAAGTTGGATCTGCCTTCTTTTGCTGGCGGTAGCGAGAGGCGCATCGAGGTGCCAAGCTGCTAGACTTTGCATAGCTTCCTGCTCAGATGGGGTGATCGCCTTGATCAGTGTCCTCGAAGTGACAAGTCCAGCGCTCGGGTGCAACAAAGCCCAGTCCCCTCGATCTTTGTACTTGACTCCCGCTAGCGCTTGCATCTTGATACTCCGGAGCAGCAGCACCGAACCGATAGGTGCGGGATGAGGCAAGTCGGCCGAGCTGTCCGCAAACATGTTGATGGTCAAGCTGTCAGAGGGCAGAGAAGCGTCCCGAAGGCCCACTGCGAGCATCGGGTCTGTGTGCGCGAGTGCGATGCGAGCACGTCAGCAGCGCGCCCAACTTCAAGGTTTCGTGCGCGTGCATGCCCACCTCCAGTCCCTGAGCCGCACCGCCTAGGCTCGCGATCAGTCACAATGACTCCCAGCATGTTGAAGAGCATCCCCGAGCCTTTGCACAGCGAAAGCGGCGTGTACACCGTCTGGGCCGTGGGACCAGTATGCAGTCAGCAATGTCGCGCTTCGCGCGCCGCCATTGCACAAACTCACCCCTCCGACGGTTCGTTTGGCTGCGGGGCCTAGCAATGCGCTCTCGCTTGCTGAAGTTGCGGGGAGACGTGGCAGCGCAGCGCTGCCTCTCACATCCGGACAAGCGGGAGTCTTGAGCCATGCGGCTGCGTCTCCAATGGAAGGCGTGGTGCTGCTGCTGCTGCTGGAGGGCTGCATCGCTTCCGGACTGCTGCTCGCCATGACCGCACGCGACGAGGCATGCTGTTGCGCCCGCTCTTCATCCATGACGCACCACAGATCCTCCTTCCACAACGCCTTGATGCGCACTGTTCCCCGTTTGTATTCGAAAATGGGCTCGCTGGTGCCGGGTTTGGTGATGGAGCACGCGCTGCCTCCTCTGCTGGAAATGCAAAAGGCGCTGCAAGAGTTGGGCGAGCTCAAGAGGAACTCGGCTACCGGACCAGCCAGCTCGTGGTGCACGGCCAGATGCAGTCGTGCCCCGCTCGCCGTCGTCTCGATCTGCAACACGAGGTGCAAGGAGACGTGGTGGGTGATGTAGCCTTCATCACTCGTTTCTCACGTGCCGCGCGTTGCTCGCACTCACCAAGCACAACTCTTGATACCTTTCATTCCAGCCGCGTTTGACGCTCAGCACAGCATCGCACTTCAAAGTCGCATCCTCTTCCTCTGCAGAATTCATGACCCGTCGCCACGCATTGATGGAATGCAATACGCCGCTCTGCGCCGGCTGGAGAGGTGAAACAGTCGTGGCCAATCGCGGTCTCTTGCGCGGAGAGCTTGGAGACGTGATGGATGCGTCGCGAGAGGGACCTGCTGCTGCTGCGCGAGGAGCTGCTGCGCTGGACGAGTCGGCTGCTCGTCCACCCATCACGCTCATCACGCTCGCTGATCGCTCTTGCTCGCGCAACTGCTTGAGGCCCTTTTTCGTGCGCGTCATGTCGGAGGCAGGGCCTGCGGTGATGCTCCGTCGGGGGACGGACAGCTAGGGCGTCAAGATGGCGAGCATGGGTGTCATACAGCGCACTCAATCGCAATCACGAATCTTGTCGCTGATCGGGGAGGGGGGGGGGGGGTGCCAGCAGCCCACACCGCGAGAGTCGAGTTCGACGTGCAAAAAGAGGCCGAAGGAGGAAGAGGAGGAGGAGGTGACGGACGCAAGGCAAGCTTCAAGACCAATGCGCGCAACGCAAGAGAGCCCAACACGATCACACGCGTGCCGCGCGCTATAGCCAGATCCGACGCGTCGCGACCCCCCCGCGGCGGAGAAGGGCGTGCGTGGTGCATGCTGCGTGCGCGTGCGCGTGCCTGCATAGACGCGCATCTATATGCGCTCAATCGTGAATCACGAATGTTCGGGCCAGCTGTGAGAGGCTGTACCCATCGTGTATGGGCGAGCGATGAGTCTTGAGTGCGATGCCATTCGTGCAACTCGAAAATCTCACCTGCCATTTTGATCTTTGCTACGCTCCTTGAGATCTGCTCAGGTTGACAGTCCTGAATGGGGCGCATCTCGACCGAGAGGCTGTGGTGATCAAATTTGTACAACTAATTCGAAATGGTACACTTGGTACAGTATGGTCAGAGTGTAAAGGGGCGGGCCTTTGTCTCAAGTCACGCATCGTCTGTGATAGCCTTGGTGCTTTCGGCCTCAGATCCGAGAGACGAAACCTGCTGATGATGGCGACGGTTCTAGTGCAGGCTTCCGTTCATCCGTCGAGTGACGTCATCGTTTCTCTTCTTGTGGCCCTTGTAAACTGCGACCTCTTCATCCTGCCTGTGGGGTTTCAAAGGGCCTACTGCGACTCCTCATCGCTGTGCTTGGGCACAAGAAGCTTGCTTGAATGAGATCTCTTGGTGTTCACAGAGCTGCGGGTCGCCTCTGCATTGTCATCCTTGCTGCGAAAGACTGAGCAAGAGGCATACAAGAGAGTAAGAAAGGTGCATTGACGGTGCATGTATGCGCACGACCCAAAGGCTCACCATCAGTACTGCCTCCACGCTTTCGCTTGACAGTCTTCTTGATCTCGCCCATCGTAAAGTCCTCATCAGAGTTGGCCAGGGCTGCGATGGGTGAAGCAAGTGGAGCGTTCAGTTTGATGCGGTGCATCATACGTGCCTTTCTGCGCTCACATGGAAGAGACATGTCGCTTCCAATTTTGCTGTTTCCGACAGCACCTGCAGAGACAGCAGGAGAGGCTGCAGGGTACCAACGTTGTCAATGTTGGTGCTGGACGACCCTTTAGCGCAAGCGCCTACCTTGCGAGCCGCATTCGTGCTTGATGTGTACCGGCTTGGCATCTCCGTCTGCAGGCGGAGAAAAGGTGCGCAAGAAGTATCAAATGGATGCACCAAGCTGGTCTTGATGGGGCCCCCTCACTCACGCTTGGACTCATTGGGCTTCTTGGTAGGCATCGAGTTGTCTTTGCTGTCCTCCTCATCGCTCGATGGCTTGGAGGTATAATTGTTGAGCATACATGCGGCGTGCAAATAACGGGGTATATGCTCACAGATGCCAAGATCTGCTTCGCCGCGGTTGCAATCTTCACAGCCTTTCCTTTGCTGACCTTGTTTTTATAAATTGTCCAATTGAATCTATCCATGTCCTTCTGTGCGACCTTGTTGCCAGCATACATCGACACCACATACAGCGGACGCTCTTCTTTGCGGGCACCGCAGGTGCATTCGTCGTCTGAACTGCTCATCTTGGAGCGCTCCCGTAGCAAGGCTGCTGTGACTGTTGGTTGTTTGTCCTGTTGACTTGCGCAAAGTGCTCCGAGTGCTGAAGAGCTGCCGCGCCGAGGAGTAGAGTAGATTGTGAAGCAGAGGTGGTGGATGGAAGTCATGAGTGAGTCGTGAGGGTCCTCGCTGAATGAAGCTGCACGCAGCACGCGATGTGCGCATCCGCGCGCGCCCACGCAGAACGCTGGCACGGGCCAGGAGAGTGGGACGCCTTCCCGACCTTGCGCGGCGGCGCAGACCTTGGAAACCGTCACTCTCGATCTCTACTGTGCGACGAATTTGACCAGCTTCCAGCCACCGACTTCATCATTCACATTTGTGACTGCTGCCTCGATCACGAGATTTTTATAAGCGCATACATGCACGGGTTCTAAAGCATGATAGTCTCTGCACGCAGATGCACGAGTCACTAGTCGTGAAGCTCGCATGCATGCAACTGCACACTCGGCTCTCGAGCAGATTGCCTGGTCTGAACTTTGCACGAGAATCACGCGAGCTTCGGCTGCGGTGTTCTTTATTGTGATTGCACCATTAACAATTGCGGCGGGCATTTGTAACGCACATGAGGTCTGACCAGGGCAAGACGGGAGCGAGCAGTCCTCTGGCTGATGAGAGCACACCCAGCGCGCTCGATGCAGCTACGTCTTGACGAACCACCACGGCTTCCATGTGGTCAACTTCTTGGACACTTGTTTCATCAAGTCTATCGCGTCGCTGAGGCGGTCAAAGAGGAAGATCGAGTAGTGAGCTCGCGGTTTGTGTAGATATGAACGCAGCATCTTTGCTTTGCACCCACTGATTCTGGCACCAAGCGTACGTCTTGCCACCCTTTAACTGGTAGTAGTCCAAAGACACGCCAGACGAGTTGCGGCAAGCTTGATCGAAATGAAGTCGCTGGTCTGCTAGCGGCATATTTACCGGCGTCTCCACCACTTCTACGACGCCAAAGAGGGCAAAGCGTAAGCAGCTGGGGTATAGAGGGAAGCGCTGCGCGTCTTTCACTCACGATAGAGCAGCGTGGGCTTGAATTGAGCAGCGGTGTGCTGTATCAGCGCAAATTGCACAGAGACAACGATGACTGCTAGAAAAAGTGTTGCACGAAACATCTTGCAGAGGGTTGAGATTCCAATGAGCGATGACGTTGGGGGTGGACTGGCCGAGGAACGCAGGAGAGGTAACTCGACGGTCCGTGATGGATGTAAGATGGAGCTCCGCTTCTTTCTTGTAGAGCAGCTGACTACTCTCTCTTCCCGCCGACATCTCCTGGGATAACCGCCAAGCTCTCAGTCATGATGCCCTTGCAAAGTCGATGCGCGGCCAAGAAAAGACGGCGCATGTAGACAAATCTTCAGCTTTGAGCAACGGTCCTTAAAGTAGAAAGATCGTGACATTAAGGAGCTAGGAATCAGGACTCGGGAGATCATAACGCGCCGCGGAAGCTATTTGCGCTCTACGTGTTCCTTGGCCATCCATGTAGTGACTCGCGTCTCGTGACGATGACATGCTGCACCAAAAGCAGCTGCATTGTCTGCGCCGGTCCACTCAGCAGTGTCATGCACGAGCATCAGGTTACGTCAACTGGCTGCTGGTAAATTTGATGCGCTGAGATGGTGGAGATGGACAGACTGTAGCCAGTCACTGTGCGGCCAACCGTCACTCGTGCTTTCGAAAGGGTTTGCCGGTCGTCGCGGCCACGTCGAAAGTATTGGTGCAGACGCGGACAATTCGAATCTGTCCCCGTAGGCACCGCCCTGTGTAAATGATTTTTGTACCTTGCCAATCTGTCGCACGATGGCCACCCGCGGACCGAGACGCTCTTCAAAAGTTCGCAGTGTGACGCGCGGGTGTCATGAAGCTTCGTTGGGCTCGTAATGGGTCGCCGTCCAAGACCGATGTCTCGCGCACGCAATTTCCGTCGGTCCTGGCCAAGGGCTAAACAGGCTGACGAAGCCAAGCGGTGTTCCTTACCTCACGCTGCAAGACGTACTTGCGCACATAAATTTCTTGACGAGCGGCGCAAAAAGGGCTCTCTGCTCCCATCTCCCTCCGTCGCTTGATCTCTTTTCTGAAGCAGGCGCTATCCCTCCCTTGCTCAATCATGCTTCGAATGCCTCGCATTATGCACGCTGCCGTGTTGTCAGTCATACTCGCGCGCGTCGCTGCGGACAACGAGATAACGATTGTACGCCCCTACAGTAAGTTTTGACGAGGTCTGCGGAGGCCGTCGAGTCGAATTGTGTCATTATAAATGCTGATATTAATCCCGCACGCATGCGTGCAGAGGTACACAGTCACCCTGCCGATCTGGATCCCAGCGCCCAGTGGACCGCTTACACTCAAGCGTGCACAGCAGCATCGGGCACGATGATGAACTACGACAAGCCCGTCTATTGCCAGAACGGGTGCGTGCAGAGTCTATAATCTCGCGAGAAGGATCGCCGAGTACATGCAGAGCTTGAACTTCGTCCTGCTGACATTTGTGCTCGATCTTGGCTGTGATGGATCGCAGCCAAAGCGACCAACATCCGTTGGCTGTGAAGCATTTATCGAAAGACTGGTCCTTCATCGAGTGCTGCCCTGGGCCTGCCCCGTGTACAAATGTTCCCGTGTACTGTTGAGACAGGAGTAGCGGGGTTAGAGGGGTGCGATCACATTTGGCGAGGTTGTTGTAGAATTCAAAGTTCTCTGTTCTTGATGCCCCTTTTGGTATCAAGCGACAAATCGCATCCACGAGATGTTGCATGTCGAGGACGCTCCGAGCGACGTGGAGTGGATGCGGAGCTCGATCGTCTCCCGAATCTTGCCTGGGGTGCCAATCTCGTTCTAGAGCGACGGGTCAGCAATGGCTCTCTAGGGAAGCCACGATAGCATTCAGTGCGCCCAACAAAGGCGATAGATTCCAGGGTGAATGAGTAGCCCTTGGATGGCGAACGGTGCTCATCTGCGCTCTGTCTCATCCATCGCTCTGCACCCTTGACCAGCTGATCGACTTGATCTCTAGTGTGTCATGCTTTATCCCTCCAGACGTGCCGCCGCGAGCGTTGCACGACTCGAGGCTACGCTCGAATAGCGACCCTGTCGCCGTGCAAGCTGTGACACGCAAGGGCAAAAATTTGACAGAGATCGCTACATCGATTGTCGCTTTGAGTGAGCCTGCTCATACAAACAGCTGCTCTGGTCGGCACTGCCAAGCTGGCCACTGGAAAACAAATCTCAAGCATTGTGATTGTCGTACACCAATCGCCAGTGCTTTGTGGCGGGCCTTCTGTCGTCGACGTAGTGCTGAACCACTGCTTCGGGGTTTGTAGCCCATCGACGACCCATCACGAATGTGGAGCCGTTGTTTCTGCATCCGGAAGTGATTGCCTCCGCATCGATGACTGCGCGGCGCAACGTCTGGCAGTGTGATAGGTGGAGCGCGGACGCGATATCGTCCCCGAAGCGCCACTTTGTGAAGACGGTTCGTCATAAGCGCCGTTTCACCTCCTCGTGTTTGGCCCGGGTAAGCCAGCACGCCACCGAGGCGTAGGAGGGCATGTGGATTTCGTTTCTCGTTGCATGCCTTCGATGTCGCGCCGCTAACAAAGAAAGCACCAAGCGAAAAAGTACAAGTTGAGTCTGTCTGCCGCACAAAGCCTCGCCGCCCTTACTCACCAACGCACAATTTCTCGAACGACCAAGACACTTGCTCTTTGAGACGCCTTCAGGGTATGTTCCGCATCTCGTCGGCAGTTGCCCTGGCCCTAGCCGCCATCCTACTAAACACCCAATAGGTCGCCGCTCTGCAGCAATATTGTGAGTGTGTTGCACCGAAACCTGGCGCCATTCACATTCTCCTCAGGTCTGATATCGACCCTCGCTTGCCCTTTTGCCGTTGGTAGCCGTAGCAACAGCCCCAGACCTGACTGACAAGCAGCTGCTCCAGATTTACGCATCGACCTGCGAAAATCTTGGGGCTACTTCCGCACACTATCCCGATCCAGTGTACTGTGACAAATAGTGAGCTAGATGTTGTCTTGGACCAGGCCTGGCTTGCGAAGCTCACCAAGTCTTTCGGTATCTTTTACGCAGCGAACAGAATCTTCACCCGGAGGTGGTGGCCGCGCTCGGCGCAGCTGGCTATGCGAATTGGACGTTCAGGCCGAAATAAGCAAGACGCGATGCGCCGCTCTCCTCGCCTGCCGATGTCATGACGAGGTTGGGCACCGGGGGCAAAGGGTCGCCGGTTCCTGCAAGAAGAGGGTCAAAGGCACGAGCGGGGCGAAATTACTTTGCAGGAGGCACGAGACCACTCCGCGATGTCTTGCGAACGTGAGCTTAACCGAGCTGCTTGAACAATCACACGTTGAAGAGCTTGACCGCGCGCCGCATGTTGCGTGAACGTGTTCAGCCTGGCTGAGATCAATTGCACTTCCGCATCCAACACCACTCGTCGCGCTGTTTCTGGATGAAAATTCGGCATTGACCACGGAATTCACGGTATTGTGATCGCACGGCGTGCAAGTGCTACACTCTCCAGCTCTCTCTCTCGAGATGACGCTCACTCGTAGGCCTCCTTGCCCTTGCTACCCTTCTCCTGCGCAGCCACATTGAACACCGCCTTGACCTTTTGCTTGTCGCTCTTGGCACCCTCGGCGTCCTCGCGCAGCTTGGCAACCTTTTCAGGTTCCTCTGCGTCGACGTACGCCTGCACGAGATTGTCCAGAGCATCGAGCTGCTGCTCAATGACGCTAGCGCTGGGTGCGCCGTCAGCAAAGTAGTTGAGCGAGACGACCAGATCGCGCAATGCCTTTTTGTGCTTCTTGAGATTCTTCTTGGCGGCATCGCGTGCCTTTTTCGCATCGGCGCGGGCGGACTGCAAGGCAAAGGATGCGTCAGCTGTTGTGGTGAAGTTGCAGACCACATCCGCACCCACTTTGTCCTCCTCCTCCTTTTTGGCAGACTCGGCCTTGGCTTTTGCTTCCTCTTCCGCTTTCGCCTTCTTCTCCGCCTCGACATCCGCGGGTGACTTGGTGGGCGCACCGCCTTTGCCCTTCTTTTTGGCCTCGCGGGCAGCCTTCTCTTGCTGCTTGAACAGTTTGATGCGGGGATCGCTTGCCAGCGCCTTGTCCACCACATTCCTGAGGCGCGCATTGTCCTCCTTCTTTCTGCGAGCGCGCTCAGCACGGTTCTTCTTGTCGATGTAACGACGGTGATCGCGATTCTCATCGCCTTCCGTCACGTCCTTGTCCAGATACTCGAACGTGCGCCACGAGTCAAAGTTGTAGAAAAAGTCGTACAGGCGGTCCACATGCTCGCGCGGACTGTCAATGTCGCCCAGCTCCGGCACCGCGCCATTCTTTGGGTTGCTGAAACGAGCCTCGCGCTCAAAGACTGGTCGCCAGAGGTCAAAGAACTTCGCCTCGGGCTCCTTGCCGGTGGGCACCTTTTCATCGTCGATGCCTTCGTCCACCGAGTCGAATTGGCGTCGACGTTCTGGATTGGACAGCACATCGTGAGCTTTGGCGATGCACTTGAAAAAGGAATCGTCGTTGGTGCCTTCCGAGCCGGCTTGACCCGCTTTTTTGTCTGGGTGATGCTTCAAGACCTTTTTGCGGTGAGCAAGCTTGATCTGCGCAGGCGTGGCCTTGTAGCGCAGAGCAGACAGACCGAGCACGGCGTAGTGGTCTTGACTCTGGGGGGTGCGGGGCAAAGCGTGTGCGTGTATGCGCGCGTCAGCACGTGCGCGCCGCAAACTCTCCCTGGCGCCGCAAACTCTCCCTCCCGCCGCTCACCTTCCACTCCTTTGGGTCGCTCTTTAGCAGACGCGGACTCTCCTCCTCGTCACCAATGTCATCCACGATCTCCTCATCATCTCCTTGCGCATCCAGCTCGTCCAGTCGAGCCTTTTCGTTGAGATCATCCTGCTCAAAGGTGAGCTGATTGACCTGCCTGCGCACGTGCGACACGTAGGAGGGGCCGGCTGCTAGCAGCGTCGAGGTGCTGGGCGCGCTGAGAGAAGTGGGCGCGATGGGTTTGTGACCTGACGGTGCGCTGGGAAGCGCGAACGGCAAGAGTTGAGGCGCCGTCATCTTTGCTGGTGCGGCGGTGGTGGTGATCGGTTGAAGAGCATTATTCTGCGCGTGCGCTCGCGCATGCCCTCCCTCACTCACGACTGCCCCGCCAAGAAGAAAATTTGAACTTGACTCACTTTTGACTCTGTCCGGCCAGGCACGTCTGCGCGGGACTCGCATCACGTGATGCGATGTGCGCGCATGGGCCACCGCACGCGGGATGGGCGTGCGTGACTTTTGACGCTTGCGTGGCGACCGCGCGCGTCCTCTTTCGACTCACGACTTCACGACTCACGACTCACGACTCACGACTCGATCATTTCCCCACGATCTCCTCGTCAGCCATCCTTTCCTCGCATCCTCTCCTCGCCTCGCACTGCGCCGTCATTGCTTCTGTAGTCCCTCATCGCACGCGCTCCGCTGCTTGCGCCCACCATGGCGTCTCAAGGAACAGGCTACGACCTCTCCTCCTCCACCTACTCACCAGACGGCCGCATCTTTCAGATCGAGTACGCGACCAAAGCGGTCGACGCAGCGGGCACGGCGATCGGTATCAAGTGCAAGGATGGCGTACTGCTAGCAGTCGAGAAGCTGGTCAGCACCAAGTTGCTCGTTCCCAGCGCCAAGGGTGCCAGCTTGAACAGGCGCATCGCAGCCGTGGACAGGCACGCCGGTCTCGTGAGTTGGATGCGAAGGGTGGCGGCGTGCATGCAATGGGGGAACATTTTGCTGACTGCGACTGCGACTGCGACTGCGACTGCTCGCCGACTGTTGGACGACAGACCACCGCGGGTCTTTCCGCTGATGGCAAGCATCTCTCCAACCGAGCGCGCGACGAGTGTCTCAATTTTCGCGACACGTTTCGCCAACCGTCGCCCCTGCACGTGTTGGCCGAACGTCTATCTCTCTACACGCAAGCATACACCCTCTACTCTTCTGTGCGCCCATTCGGTATCAGCACCATTCTGGGTGGTGTCGACGAGGATGGTCCCAAGCTGTACCTGGTGGAGCCTAGCGGTACTTTCTGGGGATACAAGGCTTGTGCGGTGGGCAAAGGCAAGCAGTTGGCAAAGACGGAATTGGAAAAGTTGGACTTGACGACATTGTCGACGGAAGATGCGGTGCAAAAGGCCGCGGATATGTGAGTGGAATAGAGAGCGTGCGTGCGTGTGTGCGCGCTCTGACGCACGCACACATGCTTCCTCGCTCGCAGCATCTACAAGGTCCACGCGGAGAATAAGGACAAGGATTTCGAATTGGAGATTAGCTGGATTGGACCCAAGAGCGGGGGCGTCTTTCAACCTGTTCCTGCTGAGATCGTCGCTGTGAGTCGGCGCGGAGGGGGGCAAAGTTCTGTCCAGCTCGTTATTGCGCTTCCGTGACAATCTCGCACCCCGCGCTCGCTATTGTGCTTCCCTGACAATCTCGCACCCCGCGCACCTCTCACAGGAAGCAGCACAAAAGGCAAAGGAGGCGTTGGACGACGAGATGGAGGACTAGGTGGGCATCCATGGCCCCCCCGCGCGTGTCACTCACATCCAGATGCAATGCGATGGTGTGACAATCAGGGTGTGAGCGGAGTGGCTTGTGTGTGGGCAATTGCCGGTCACCGTCCCGGCGGCATGCGCGCGTGGGGAAGAGGCCATGAGCGCGCATAGGTGAGTGGGCGAGACAAGTGCGCTGCGCAATGGAGAGTTCTCCGGACGTGATAAGCTCTGCGCTCCTCGATGCTCCCTCAGCTTGGCAACCACGATTTGCTGCCGGCTGATTGTTTGCCGGTGCCGCTTCGCTGCTGACCATCTTCTACGTGGGACTTGGGATACTTTGGCATGCATGGCACTCTGGGCTTCGTGTGCATCTCTCGCTCATCTTTACATCTCGTCCAACGACCAGAGGCATATCCAGGAGGCAATCGAGCGCGCCAAGCACCTCGGGAGCATCGCAAGACATGTGAGCTGAGCGCACGTGGTGGGACGCCCCGAATGAGTTGCCCATGTTGAGAAGGTGAGGAACAGCGCGGAGGATTCATCTGGCTCTTGCTTACATTGCCCGCGAGCCTTGCGCTGACACCAACGCAGAACATGTGCTTGCGCGGGCCACCCTCGAGGCTGAGACTTGGCCCACGCAAGATCGGTGCATGCCTTGCATGCGGCCGAGGGACAGTGTGAGAGCAATGCGACGACAAAGAAAGTCTCCGCCAGATGCCCGTATAGCTTTGAAACTGATCAAGGCGCGCGAATTCTTACACAGGCTCCCAGGGGCCGCTAAATACGAAAGCGGGCCACGCCGCGTCGCCGGCCTTTCACTCCACGATCAAGTGATGATCAAGCCGGGAAGGGATTGTTCGGCTCACTCCTCGCACCGGAAGACGCAAGAGGCGCATCCTCCTCGTCCTCTTCGGCAGACGGCAGGCACCACTCCAGCCACCTCACATTGCCGTCCTCTTCAGCAGACTGCAGTGCCCGTCCAGCCATCTGACATGCCACGCCGTGACGCATCGCTCATGCATCGAGGTACTGAGAGCGTTTTGTAGACTGCTGCGCTCCGTGGACACGCGATGCCGTAGGTGATCCATCGCTTGTCACAAGCGTGCTTGGGTACTTTTGCGTCAGGCTAAAGATCCGATGAAGAGTCTTGACAGATTGACAGGGTACGGAATATCAACGGCTCGACGCGCGAGATTTCTCCCTTCGTGGGAGTCTTTTCAGCTACATCTCCAACCGCAGCATTGCTCAACAGCATCGCGGCAACGATCCGATCGATCTTCTTTGCTAGCAAAGGATGCTGCGATGCATACACAAACATGGAAACTATCGCTAAGCTCAGCAGTGGACCCGCGAGATTTGCTTGCCATGCGTCGACCTCGATGTGCTCTCGACTAATGCTGGTCCGATATTTGCACAGCCTGGAGCAAGCGCTAATAGAATGTCGGATTGCTCGAGAAAGGAAGGGCTGCGCTGCGTACATTGGGCGAGAGGACCCACTGCTTTGAAAATGCTCAAGAGTGCTCTGTCATCGCGTGGAGCTCACGCGGGTCCTCTTTGGCGCGCTCGATCCCGCTGAACGACGTCTGCCGAGGTGTCTCAAGCAGAGCTCGCTTCGAGTGATGACCTTGATGAGAAGCGCATGCATGCTCCCTCTTGCTCAAGGCCCAAGATTTCGCAAATATCCATCATCAAGCATTGTACGGACGTGGAATGTGGGAACGGGTGAGCGAGATGCAGCGATAAGCGCGAGCGGCAGCTGAAGACGCGCGAGTCATTGTGCATACCACAACACTTTTGGCCTCGATCCTCGAACGACAAGGCTTGTCAGCGTTTGTGATGGAGCCCGTCAATACGGGTCGCATTCTTTGCGGCGCAAAACGGAAGCGGCGAGTAGGGCGAGGGGCGAGGGGCGAGGGGCGAGCAGGCGTCAAATGTATCACACACGAGATGATGGAGGTCAGAAAGCATGATATGCTGAGCGTGGATGCGCGTGCGGATATGTACATATAGGCGCGTACCACGTGACATGCCCTCCCTCCCATGATGGAGTTAGGGTTAGGGTTAGGGTTAGGGTTAGGGTTAGGGTTAGGGTTAGGGTTAGGGTTAGGGTTAGGGTTAGGGTTAGGGTTAGGGTTAGGGTTAG